ACTGAGTGTCCAGCACAACAAACAGCCTCTCACCAAAACATATCAGTGCCATTTCAGAACACTGGCGACACGAAGATGTTCAGAGAGGGGGAGAAAGTCACAAAGGATAAGGATTTAAAGGCTTTCATCTCAAAAGCAATGATGAAAACTAGAAGGTAATGCCCCAATGCCTTCACAAGTCTCAAGAAAGTCAATTCCTAGCTAAACAATCAATCCAGTGTCTGAGTAGAACAATGGCCATGTCAAACATGCAAAGTTTCCAAACAATGCATCACCCTCTGTCTCAGGAAGCTTCTGGAAGATAGTCTCTTCCCCAAAGAGGGAATAAATCAAGAAAAAAAAAAAAGACATTGAATATGGCAAAACAAAGATCCAACAAAGGAGAGAGGCAAAGAAAATACCCCGGAGGATGAGTGGAGATGCCAGGTTGCCAGATGTTCAGCAAGGATAGAGGATAAACCCTCAGAGTGGAACAAGTCAGAGGCTCCAGCAGAGATGTCTTCAAGAAGGTGAAGTTGATAGAATATCTGTTGTATCTAGATATTCTGAGAAAAGATTTAGACAGTTTGGAGAAGATTTTAAGGCAGGTTTTGATAAATACATAGACAACTAAACAAATTTTAAAAAACAAGATAATTATTCATTCCAGGAAAAATGAAAAATTGTGCAGGAAAGGAAGAGTAACCAAAGTCTTCTACATGGCTCAGTTCTGAATGGAATATATAGTCACAGTGTTGTAAGAACTAAAAATTGAACTAGCAAAAATTATCAAGTTAAATTTGGCAGAAGGGAGATGGGAATGCGGTATAAGAGTGGGGCGGGAGTAAGAGGGGGAAATCCTCAAATCTGCCCCTATTGCTTGTGGGGGCTAGGGCAAAACTACAATGGAGACTCACATACTAAATATATTTTTAAATATATTTTATTGATTTTTTTACAAAGAGGAAGGGAGAGGAATAGAGAGCTAGAAACATCAATGACAGAGAAACATTGATCAGCTGCCTCCTGCACACTCCCCACTGGGGATGTGCCCACAACCAAGGTACATGCCCTTGACTGGAATCAAACCTGGGACCCTTGAGCCCGCAGGCCGATGCTCTATCCACTGAGTCAAACCAGTCAGGGCCTAAATATTTTAATGTTATAAATTAAGCTAACAAATCTATCTATATACATAAAAGCCCAAGCAACCCAATGACTGGTCAACCAGTTGCTATGACATGCACTGACCACCAGAGGGCAGACGCTCACCGCAGTAGCTGCCCCCTGGTCGTCAGTGCACTCCCACAGCAGGAGTGCCACTCAGGCGACCAACCCATCCCAGTGGCCCATCAGCCCGGCAGCAGCCACTCACTCCCTCAGTAGTCCTGCTGGTCCAATCTCCAGAGAACGGGCCAGGCACCAATGGACTGGCGCTGCCAGCCTCCTGGAAGTCGGCCTCACGCACTGCCACTGCATCCGCTTCGCTTCCCCTCCCTAGATGCTCCACAAGGAAGAAACTACATAAAAGCGCCACCAGGTGGCTCACGACAACCAGTGCAAATGTCAGCAGGACAGATCAGGATCCTGGGCCAGCAAGAGCATCCCACCGCCTGCCCAGAGGGCTGATCACATCCGGCCACCCCTCATTCCCCTCAGGAGGGGCGCCAGATGCAGGGCTCATGGCTGGTGAGTGCCGAGGCTGCAGTGTGAGCCTCTCCCAATCAGGACTGACTGGATGCGAGCCCCCGGCAGGTGCAGTGGGGCCGGGATGAGCAGGAGCGGCAGGCGGCGTTGGACTGCCGGTTTCCGCCCAATCCCCGAAGGCCACTCCGAGGGACCCCACCCGTTCACGAATTCGTGCACTAGGCCTCTAGTACCTTCATAAGGGCTTGCAAGGCCAGGTTCTAAATTAGAATTTTTGGAATCCTTAGAGTTCTATACTAGAAAATAGCAGCCCCAGCCCCTGGCTCTTGCCTGACCCTCCTTCCCTTCTGATTTTGCCTCTGTTCTGCACTGAGAGAGCCTTAAACAGGATCCTGTGGACACCCTCGCTTGTTCTCACATCTCTTGCTGTAAAGAGCTGTCTTTGACTACCCTTTAGGCCTAGAGATGCCCACACCATCAGCAAGACCTGGCTGGGGAGAGGAGATCCAAGGAAGAAGCTGGTACAAGCCCACAAAGCGAGCTGGGCAGGCAATTCCAGGGCCCCAGGTGTTCGGGATATGGCATAAAGGGGGGTAAGTGGTCTTTGGATGGGCATATCCCCTTGAACTGACCCTGTGAGGAAGGACCCAGCCAAAAAGGAAGTTTAAATACCTGAAAATGGAGAGAGGGCTCTGCTTTTAACAAACCTTATACAATTATTTGACTCTCTAAAATAGGTGTCTATGTATTCTAAGAAATACTTCGTAGAAGAAAAGAAAAGCTTTATAAAAATAAAATGATAATAAAAGTTTGTGGAACCTCTGAACCTTCTGCTATGCCTAGAGGTCTCAATAATACAGTTTGAAAACCACAGGACTGCTCCCTCATGTGAGGCCATCTAGGTGTTGGGATGAAAACCACAGCGACGTTTCTCTCTACAATGGCCCCCAGAATGAATCCCTCTTCCTGTCCTCCCATCCCTCACCTTTAATTCAGGACACCTACTTCCTGTTGGTTGTTTTCCTACTTCTCCCCTGCTGGGCTCTGGCCTCCTTGCAAGCAGGGACCCAGCTGAGTTCTTTGCCTCTGCAGCACCTAGCACAGTGCCAGACAGAGAGGACAGGCTCAGCCACGTGTTGATGGACAAAGGAAAAAGGAAGCACCTGTACCCGGGCTCTGGAGGGAAGGAGTTTGCCTTTCTGCACAGGTATGCCTGCAGCCCTGACACCTTCGGCATGTCCATTAAATAGCTATGGGTTACAATTCCCTTATCTTAACACCACCGCATTTATCGCACATCTTTAATACCCATAAAGGATTGGGTCCCTGCTGCAAATCTCAAAAGTAACTTCGGGATCACGTGAGAAGCACGTGTCTGCCCCATGACCGCAGGGAGTTTGGGGGGTGGAGGATCTGTTTTGTTCTGTTTTTCAATTTGTTTGCTCAGTGCCGGGAACTGTGCCTCACACCTATCAGGTGCTCAATAAGTAGTTGTTGGGTGAATTAATGAATTAAAACGTATTAAAAATAACTACGCATGGGATGGAAACACGCTTTGTGAAGTGGAAAGATACACCTATATTCGGAATAAATACTTAGGTTCAGGCCCTGGACCTGGGAGCGAGCGCATGGGACCCCGCCGCCCCGAGCGCCTTGTGTGGCGGACGCGCCAGCCGAGCCGCGAAGGCCGGGAAGCGGCGGGCCGAGGCGTGGCGGCCGCCTGGTGCGGTCGGGCGTCCGCCCAGGGGCGGTCAGTCGGAGCGCCGAGCAGGTGCGGCCGCCTCCAGTGGGCGGCGCTGGACCCGGCGGGGCGGGGCCGGCCTCTCCGCGCCGGGGGGCGGGGCCGAGCCGCGCGCTCCGGGCCGGTGCAGGGCCCGGCTGGTCGACGGGAGCGCCCGGGGCCCCGGCCACCAAGGGGTGCGACCCCCTCCTGGTCCCGCCTTCCCGGCTGAGGTCTGGCCAATCAGAGAGGCTTTTACTAGCGGGTGGGCGCAGCCGGCTCAGCTGCTCCGAGGCCCCGGCATGGTAACGTTCTCGTGCGGGGGTGGAGGGGCCCGGGCGGTTCCACTGCGCCCCCCGCGCCCCGGCCCGGGGCCAGGGGGGCGGGGAGGCCGCCGGGGGTACGCGGGACCCCGAGGGAGGGCCAGGGACGTGAGGGATGAGGGCGAGGAGCCCGGGAGGAGGAAGGGGGTCGGGGACTTGGGGAGAAGGGGTGGGAAAGGCCATGATGGAGGATGGCGGGAGGGGGCTGTGAGGGGAATGGGCATTGCGGGATTGGGTGAGGGGACAAGGGCGGAGGGGAGGGTGGGTTTGCGGAGAATGGTCAGAAAGAAGATGGGGAGCAGGAGGTGTGGGAACTGCGGGACAAGGGGGGAGCCGGGAGCCCCCGTTTTCCTGGGATATTGGCGTGCGACATGCCCCTCCCCAGACTCGGTGCGAGTTCCCTTCCGAGACCCGCTCGCGCCCTGGCCGCCTCCTGCGGTGAGGAGGGCCCGTCTCCTGAGCAGCGAGGCCCGGCCCCGCCCGGGCGGGGTGCCCACGGAACAGGGGAGCAGAGCCCCGGGGTCCCCGCCCTGGCGCTGCCCTCGACTCCCTGCAACAACTCGTGTGACCTTGGGCAAGTCACTACTTTTCTGTGGGCCTCAGATTTCCTGTCGATGGGAAAAAGGGAAATGGTTCGGAATGGCAGCCCGCATCGCTTCCAGCCGCACAGTGGAGTGGCTCCTGAGGAGAGGTTTCGGGAGAATGGGTTCTAAGACGCGGGGAGACAAAAGGATGAAGATGGAGGCAGGCCTTTCGCCGGGGCTGCCGAGAGTCCCCGGGGGTGGGGGGGGGGTGGGGGATGGGGCCCGCAGCCCGCGAGCGGACAGCCCGGCCCGCGGACAGCCCGGCCGCACCCTGTCGGAGCGATGGAGGCCTCTCCCAAGTAGAGGAGGCGGCGGCGGAGACCTCACCCAGAAAGAGGGAGGCCAGGAGTAGCATCTTCCTCAGAGGGAGATAAGATGGCAGGCTAGACGGCAGCCGTGGAAGATAGATGCGGGTAGAGCAGCATCTTCGCGGGCAGGAGGCGCGCTGCGGGTTCGGGAGAGCGGGCCGAGGGTGCTCGGGAACAGGGAGAGGAGGTCATGCTGCCGGGCGGTTGGCGAAGGGCAGCCTGTGGCCGGACCGCGTGCAGACGGTCGGCCGGTCCCGGCCTGTGATGCTCTTCTCCCGGGCGAAGACGGCCTCTTTCCGAGGGAGGAGCCGTTCAGACTTCATTTACCGCACACACCTCTGCGAGGAGCGGGGCAGACCCGGGCAGCCGTGGGACCATCTAGCTGTGCGTGAGGGTTTCAGGATTGTGTGAGGACTGGGGAAGAAGACAGGACGATACCTGAAACCTCTATGATTTTACTAACCAATGTCACCGCAGTAAATTCAATTAAAAGAAAGAAAAGAAGTGAACATAAAGAACACACCAGTGAATCTGAATGAAAGAAATGCCTGTGGCACCATCATTCTTGCTAAAAGGAAGTGTTTTGAAGTATTTGAAAGCACAGACTTTGGGGTCACCTGCCTCTGCCATTTAATCTCTTTGAACCTCAGTTTCTTTATAAAATGGGGATAAGAACCTCTAAGATGGTTGTGAGGATTAAATGTTTGTCATGGTATTTGGCTCATAACAAGCACTCAATAAATATTAGCTATTAGCTGCTACCATTCCCCCCCCCCCCTTTTTTTTTAAATCCTCACCTGAGAATATTTTTCCAGTGGTTTTTTTAGAGGGAATAGAAGGGAGAGAGAAAGAAACATTGATCACATCAATTGGTTGTCTTCCGAATGCACCCCAACCAGCACCTGTACCCTGACCAAGGTCCGCACCGAGCCTGCATGCCAGGTACATGATGCTTCCGGCTCTTTCTCATGCCCCTGCTGGGGACTGAGCTGGTAACTTGGCCCAAATGGGGAATGGAACCTTCAAACCCTCCAACACTCTAACCACTGAGAAAACCAGTCAGGGCAATCATTTCCTCTTTCCATTCTTTCTCTTTCTCTGCTCTTGTCCTTTTTTCCTTTTGTTCTTCTTGAATCTTCAATTCTGAGATGTCCCTTAGATGTGGAGAATGAGAAGAATTGATTGCATCTGGGGCAGGGGGGTCTTTCCACTGGTCCAATGAACACATTATGATCAGATGATCAGTTGTCTTGCATCTCTCCCCGGCCCACAAATGTGTTTTTGTTCCAAGGAAGACACAGGATCTGCTTCTCTTTCAGCCCCTTTTTCTGTACCTCTTTCTCACATGAATTACTTCAGATTCTCACCCGGAAGTGTAATAAGATCCAAAGTTGTACAGGCACTGCAGCAAAAGAGATAGGAGAAGGGGTGTTTAGGAAAGAAAGTATAGACATCGCACAGGGGAGCTTAGCACAGGGAGGGCTTTGGAAGTTCCATAGAAATTTATGGTCATGCTATTGCTCTATCCAGAAACAGCCCAGTGTCTGGATCCTTGCCAGGGATCTCCATTCCAAGTTAAAGATGGTCATATACGCTTAGTTTTTCATTATTTAGGTTTTTCTAAGCCAATAATTTGACTCCAGTTCCCTTTCCACAGCCACACAGATCTCTGCCAAGCTGCCTCTCATCACAGTCAACCTTTACCCAGAGAATTTATATAAAGGTACCTGGGCACATTGTGTGGGTGTGGGCGTACACACACACACACACACACACACGCATGCCTATTTTTAGAATATTCCAGTATGCAAAAAATCTAATAAGGTTAAGGATGAGTCTGCGTTTTATCACAGCACTTTGTCTGCAGGGCCCTGCCTAGACACTCAGAGGAGGCTTAAAAAGAGAAAACTCAATCTCTGAATGTAGGGAAAACCCCATCCAAGTAGGGCAACAGGCAGTCCCAGGATCCTAAGGCAGCTTGAGGTGGGAAAGTGTGGCGTGAAGAAACACCCAACAAACATCTACAGAGTAGCATGTTGCTTGGTGCAAAGTAGTGCAGCATTTATCCTGAGGAGACACAAGTAGATAGGAGTGTGTGTATGTGTGAAGAATAGTCATAAAGGTAACCCGAAGGAGGTGAATATTGGATCATCTTGAACAAGGTGAGAGACAAAGTGGAATAAAAGAAACACATGGAGTAATTTGTGTGTAAAGGAGAGGAGGGAAGCCATTGAGTCAGGAGGAGCCAAGAAGAGTTATGGCATGGGCCTTGTTGAAAGACTTTGAATGTTAAATTAGAGATTCTGTAGGGTGAGTAATAGAGACCCACCACTGATTGTCAAGCAAGAAAATGTTGGATCCTTGCTGATTTAATAACTACATGGGTTTCAGGGGAAATGCTGGAGTGAAAAAACAGACCTGCTTCCTGTGGCAAGGACTGTGCTTTTAAGGGAGTAGGGCTGGAAGGCAGATTCGATCTAGTCCTGGCTCTGTCCCTAACCAGCTGTAGGAATTATTATTCCCCTAGTTTTCTCATCTGAAAAAAGAGGGCTACTTTGGGTGGTTACCAGAGTCCCCTCTCCATCTCTGACATCCTGTGTTCCCTGAATAACTACTAGGCCTTACCGACGACTTTGTTTTGTGGGACTTGTCAAGACCATTCAGTCATTAAGGCAATATTTGTTAGCACCTACTGTGTGTCAATAGCAGGTAGTGAGGAAAATTCAATGGGGATAGGATATTGGGATGAGCAAAAGCAGATAAAGTCTGCCCCTTAGAGTTTTTAGCCTAGTGAGGCAGCAAGCAGATATTTCATTGATTCCAAGACTCACAATCTAACATTTCTGAAGGCAAGATGCATCTTAAGATCAATGGAGTAGCATGATTTAATTGGCAGGCATTTGTTTTTTGTTAATGCCACATAGTAAATCAGAATTGTACAAATAACTGTAAAATTCCAGTGGATAATTGCTGATGGGAAAGGTATATGGTGTACAAGCATGTAAAGGAGGGTACTGACTGGTCTGCTGGGTTGGAGGAAGACTTTTTTAAGGAAATGATGGCTGATAGATGTGAAGGATATGTAGTCGAGATGTGTGGGGTTGGTGGGAAGATTACCTCATGCAAAGGTGGGTGCCTAAGGTGGAGAATTGAGAGTAGGTGAGTGTGGCTGGAGCACAGACCCAGGAGCTCAGCATGGGTGAGTCTGGCAAAGCAGTTGGGAGCAAATCTATTATAGCCTCCCAGGTCCGAGGCAGAAGTTTTGGTCTTTACACTAAGAACAGTGGGAAGCCATTGAAGAGTTTTAAGCAGGGAAGTAACATGGTCTGAGGAGCATTTTAAAAAATATATATTTTTTATTGATTTTGGAGAGGGAGAGAGAGATCGAAACAAAGATAGAGAATCATTGATCGGCTGCCTCCTGCACGCCCCCCACTGGGGATCGTGGCCAAAACCCGGGCATGTGCCCTTGACCGGAATCAAACCCGTGCCCTTTAGTCCCTCAGGCCAATGCTCTATCCACGAGCCAAACTGGTAGGGCCTGAGGTGCATTTTTTTTTTTTAATATATTTTATTGAATTTTTACAGAGAGGAAGGGAGAGGGATAGAGTTAGAAACATCGATGAAAGAGAAACATTGATCAGCTGCTTCCTGCACACCTCCTACTGGGGATGTGCCCACAACCAAGGTACATGCCCTTGGCCGGAATTGAACCTGGGACCTTTCAGTCCGCAGGCCGACGCTCTATCCACTGAGCCAAACCAGTTAGGGCCTGAGGTGCATTTTGATGAGCTCATTATGGCTGCAGATTAGAGTGAGAGACCCAATGAAAGGGTTGGTAGGCATGGAGGAGGAAATGGAGAGGAGTAGATGGATTCCAGAAATCTTTAGGAGGTAAAATTAATAGGACTCAGCAATGTATTGAGAAGGAAGAGGGAGGTGTGGAGAGTGACACATTTCTAATCTTGGACAACTGGGGCACCAGTCTCTGACATGGGCAACAAACCACTGGAGCCTGGTAGAACCCACAAAGTTACACAGCATTTGGGAAGGTAGAGTGGATCCTAAGGCAGCTTGAGGTGGGAAAGTGTGGCACAAATAATTGGGTTTCTTCCCATATGATTAGTTTCTGACTTCCCATGCTAAGGAAAGTATTGGGGCAAGAGCAGGTATGATACTGGACTAGAGGAGTTGAACACTGAGAAAAGGTGATTCAAGTTGGAGTAGTTTGGCTTACCCCCTTCTCTCCTTAGGACAAGAGGGGCAGGAAGAGAGGAGGCACAGATATTGGTAAAGGTAGAGATTAGAAAGTATTTGTAAAAGCTGAGATTTCTTAGGCAGATGGCTTGATCTGCCTTGGAAGCAAAGAAGAGTCCCGGCCTGCGTGGCTCAGTGGTTGAACATTGACCTATGAACCGGATCATGGTTTGATTCCCAGTTAGAGAACATGCCCGGGTTATGGGCTTGATACCCAGTATGGGGCATGCGGGAGGCAGCTGATCAATGATTCTCTCTCATCATTGTTGTTTCTATCTCTCTCTCCCCTTCCTCTCTGAAATCAATTTTAAAAAACCATGCTATTAAATCTTTTTTAAAAACGAGAAAGCTACATTAAAAATAAGTAAATGAAAAGAAAAGGATAGTCCAGAGGCCAAAGGGACAGTGAGCACTATGCAGGACTCTGGTGCCTTCCTTTAAAAAAAAAAAAAAAAAAAAAAAGAGCTGAGATTTCTCAACAAAGGAATAATTAATTGGGCTGCAGCAAGGTGGCCGTTGGATCACCTTTCCCTGGGTCTCTTCCCTATACCCCCCCTCCTTTCAAGCAAAGAGGAGGAATGGCAGGGCCTTTTGGCTGCATTTCCACACCTCAGTTTACTCAAAAGTTTTTTTGAATGGGTGACATAGTCATATGATTGCATATTTAAAAGTTACAAAAGGGCATATAGTGATAAATCTCCTTTCCACCTCAGTCCCTCTCCCACCAATTTGTCATCTTTTGTTTCCGATTTTTATACAAGTGATAAAACTTTGCAACGCTTTGCTTCTCCCCCCATTTGTTAATATATCGTAGAGGTTGTTTCATATCAAGACAATGAGCTTCTTCATTTTTTATGCCTGCATAGTATTCTATTTTATGTTTGTAATTTCGTAGTTCCGTATTGGTGGATATTTAGGCTGATTCTAATCTTTTGTTTTTACAAATAATGCTGAAATGGAAATCTTGTGTAGACATCATTTTGGCCATATGGGGCTTTATCTGTAGGATGAATATTTAGAATTGGAAGGTTCTATATAGAGAGAATTTTTCACTCACTTGTCATGTCATTCATCTATCCAGTATTTATTGAGTGCCCATTATGTGCCAGATACTCTTGCAGGTTCCAGGAATCCAACTTTCAACAAGTCAGACATGATCCCTGCCCTTGTGGAAGGTTATTACCCTCTATTAAAAGGAAACAAAAAAGGAGACCAGAAGAGAATAAATTGGGAGGATCTGCTTTAAATAGAGTCAGGAAGACTTCTTAGAGTAAGTGATATTTAAGCTGAGAACTAAAGGATGGGACATGGCCAACCATTAGGTGTAGGATGGGGAAACCTAGGCTATTCAGAGCCTCACCCAGAGGCGAGGAGTTCAGGATCTGTAGGGGATCATACTGGGGCTAGCGTAGAGGTGGAAGTGAAAAGACCCCGGTAGTGTGAGGGCAGGGTGGGCTGTCTCTTTCATACTCCTTATCTGTATTTTAAAAATATGCCATATAAGTCAGGGGAGGAGGAGTACAGCTAAAGAGATGAAGGAGGTGATTGGGAGTGGAAGATATCAAAGAATGAGTGACTAAAGATGAGGCCAGACAGGGGAGGGGTCTGGTAGTAGAGGAGAGTTAGGGAGACTAGTACTTATGAAGGACTCTTTATTATTTGTGTTTAGAGGGCTCTGTACCTGGCTGAATTCAGGTGGGGAAACAGGAAAAGAGGCCACTTCCTTCCTGGATATTTTATGAATGAGAGGCCACAGTTTAACTGGTCTGAGGGAGGCACAGCTTTGCCTGCAGACAGGAGAGTGGATGAAATGCCTTGGGCAGAGCCAGTCTGCCTGTAGTACAGCCTCCAACCTTTCTGTGGCTTTAGCAAAATGGAAATTTCTAAATTAAAGATGACATTGAAGGGACTCAGCCAGCTGGCTCTGGGCTGGTGGAAGAGAGAGCAGACCTATCCAGGGCTCAGAGCTGGGAGTGGGCAGGAAGTTGGTCTTGGAGACTCTTTCTCTGAAGTTTATGCTCCTTTTTTATCCTCACCCCTCTGTTTCCCTTTTGCAAACGCCCATCTCTTTGCCTATCCTGGGTCCTATGACTTTTCTCTCCCTCAACAGTCGGTTCCCGATTCTGGTCCCCGGCCCCCAGCAGCGCCTGCCCCCTTCCCACCGGGGCCCCCCATGATGCCACCACCCTTCGTAAGTTTTATGCCTTTCCCTGGGCTTGGCTTTTCCAGCCTGCACCCTTTAATTCCCCAGTCCCTAGCACTGCTGCACGGTTTTCATGTAAAAAAACTCTTTTCTGCTAACCTTGGAAGAGGGATGGTTTTGTTAGGTTATTGGGGTGGGAGATGCTGCTGTTCAGCTCTCCGTTCATAAAGTTGACAGTTCCTCTCTGTCTTTTTGTCCTGGGGACATACTGGGGCTAGCGTAGAGGTGGAAGTGAAAAGACCCCGGTAGTGTGAGGGCAGGGTGGGCTGACTGTCTCTCTCACTTCCCCTTATCTGTCTTTTAAAAATATGCCACATAAGTCAGGCTGGAGTAGCAACTGATGGTCACTGAATTGGAGAAAAAGGGGTGGGAGGCAGGGCACTAGGGATTTGGGTACCTGGACACATGCCTTTTGGCCCTGCATCTGAGAAGCCTCTTTGAGGAGAGTTGCTAAAGAAATGGAGCCTTCCAGCTGCAGTCTGGTGGTGGTTGTACTTTCTTTTCCTTCTCCCTTCCTTACCTCTCAAGAAGCTGTGTGCTTGCCTGTTAGACCCAGAGGACCCCCCAGTTACCAGTCTTTCTCAGTGGTGAGGGGGGTGGCAGTTTCATACTTTGTGCTTAGCAAGCTAAACTTTGGAATTGCCTCAGAGCCAGGGTGGAAGGTTCAGGTGAGAGATAAGTGGATGTTTTCTGCCAGAACCAAGGCATCTCTTCTTTTCCTCATTTCCAGATGCCCCCTCCAGGAATCCCTCCGCCCTTCCCTCCGATGGGGCTACCGCCCATGAGTCAGAGACCACCAGCCATCCCCCCCATGCCACCTGGCATCATGCCCCCAATGCTACCACCAATGGGGTCACCACCACCACTCACACAGGTAATCCTCTCCTCTGCACCAGGACCTCAGAAAACCTGTCAGTTTATCTGGGGATGGAGATGAGAGTTGGGGATCTGGACTTCAGGAACTGGGGAGGGGAGGTAGGGAGCTTTGGGACAGGCCAATGTGGGTTTGTCTGCTGAATGACTGGAAAAAACTCTCAGGCTAGGCTAGAAGCCCATAATCCCTCAGGGGATTGCCCGAGGAGGTGCCCGTGTGGAGATCATGAACACAACAGAATCTCTTAGGTCCCTGCCAAGCCTGTGCCTGCCCCCACCTCAGTAGCTGGTTTTTGTCTTTATATCCATAGATACCAGGAATGGTACCTCCCATGATGCCAGGAATGCTGATGCCTGCAGTGCCTGTCACCGCAGCGGTAAGCACTGAGGCCAGCAGGAAGCAGCTCTGTATTTCAGCACTGTGGGGGTCTGATTGGGAGTTCAGGGATATGGCCTCCATTCTTTCTCTCTTCTCATCGGATCCATCCTGGTCCCTGTCAGCATTCCCCACACTTGAGTCCTCTCCAGCCATGTACTTAGCTCTTCTTGTTTCTCACTCTTCCCCAAAGGCATATACATTCTCTGTTGTTATTCGCCATTGTGTCCCTCTCCCTTAAGGAACACACTCATACCAGACACTGCTTGACCTCACAGAGCTAGCACTGTGGACGCTTAAATACAGTCCCTCTTCATGTCTTTTTAGTCTCTGGAGAAAACAACAGCACTTGAGGATCTCGCTGTGCCTTCTTGTGCTGTTGCTCAGTGTAGTAGAGTCTGAGTAGGATGTAGAATTTGGCATCCACTCTGGAAGGGATGGGTCTCAAGAAAATACTCTCCCGTGAGGAAAACGAAGAAAGGAGTCGCTGTGTGATTCCCCCGGGGATCCTAGAGCCACCACCCGGGAGGCTGGGGCAAGCATGTTAGGTAGCAGGACACGTGGATCTTGGCCTGGCCTGCTTCTCGATCCCCCATGGCCTGGGTCCTGGGGGCCACTGGGCTTGGCCCCAACCCTTCCCCCTCCTCTTTCTTCGGCAGACGGCTCCAGGTGTGGACACCGCCAGCTGTGAGTCTTCTGGGGGCCTGCTCCCCCCAGGCTCGGAGGTCGGGGGGTACAGGGGAGAGGGGACTAGAGTCCACCCTGGATCATGCCTGTTGGGATGCCAGGGAGCCTGGGATGTTGATGGGACCAGGGGATATATATTGGGGATGGAGTAAGGGAGGAATAAATGGGGATAAGATGCAGGTTGAAGCAAGGACTTAGTATCTTTCCTTTGGCTTCTTTTCTAGCTGCTGTGGCTGGGACAGGCCCTCTGGTGAGTTTTTCCAGCTCAGGGATCTCTGGGTAGAAAGGCTGAAAGTGGGGGGCTAATGGTTTAGTCTTTGGGGTGAGGAGAAGCTTTGGGAAAGGGGCCTTGACCACCATTCTGTGCCCCCCCTCCCCCAGAGGGCCCTATGGAGTGAGCATGTAGCCCCTGATGGGCGCATCTACTACTACAATGCTGACGACAAGCAGTCCGTGTGGGAGAAGCCCAGCGTGCTCAAGTCCAAGGCGGAGGTCCTGAGCTGGGCTTTCTGGCCCTTCCTTTCAGCTGCCCTGACCCTTCCAAGTGCTTGATCTCCCCTGAGTCTATAAACCATACACATTATAGTTCCTCTGATCCCAAGATCCCTGACAACCCCAACCTCCCTAGGATCTCAGGAAGTCCATCTTGCCCCATGTTGAGCCAGGCCAGGTGGTAGCTAAAAACTCCTGGGTCCCTCTACTCACTGCATCCCCTTAGTTCCATCAGCCCACTGATGTCGTCTGACCCATCTTCTTATAGCTGCTGCTGTCCCAGAGTCCCTGGAAAGAGTACAAGTCGGACACAGGCAAACCTTACTACTATAACAACCAGAGTAAGGAGTCCCGCTGGACCCGGCCGAAGGACCTGGATGACCTCGAGGGTGAGGATGGTGGGCCTGGATAGGGGCCTGTGGAGGGTGGCCCTTGCTACCCTGTGACCATGTATCTTTTCCCATTGCAGCTCTAGTCAAACAAGAGGCTGTAGGGTAAGTAACTTGCTCATCTTGCTCCCCTATCCATCCATACTTGGGGCCACCTGAGGGGTGGGAGTGGACTCTCTCCCCATGATCTCTGCTCTGTGGAAGGAAGAGCAAATGCTCAGTCTCCTTGTGGAGTGGTTCACTCTGTCCCCAGCCCCTCTCAGAATAGAGTCCTGCCAGCCCTTGACCACTTCTCCCTGCTCCATTCTGGATTCTGCCCTTCCGGCTCGCCTGCAGGAAACAGCAGCAGCAGCCCCAGACACTACAGACACAGCCTCCTCAGCCACAGCCTGAGCCCCCACCTGCGCCTCCTGGCCCCACCCCACTGCCTATGAGCCTCCTAGAACCTGAGCCAGGTGGGAATGAAGATTGCGATGTGTCAGATGCTGTCCAGCCCCTGGAGCAGGGGTTCCTGCAGCAGCCAGAGGAGGGCCCCAGCAGGTGAGGCTGTCCCCGCAGCATTCTGGATGCTGGCCTCGGGTTGCCAGCCTGGTTCAACCTTTTACCTCTACTAGGCCTCTTGGGAAGGATCTGGGGATCTGGGCATGACCTCTAAAAGGCAGAAAAGGGCCGCCCTAGGGAGCAAGAAGGGGGTGGCTTGCTGTTGATCACCAGGGCACTGAAACTACGGGGGCTGGGGGGTGTGGTGGCTGAGTCTCCTTTGCTTCCCCAGTTCTGCTGCACAGCATCAGCCACCACAACAGGAGGAAGAGGAATCAAAGCTAGAACCAGAGAGGTCTGGCCTCAGTTGGAGTAACCGTGAGAAGGCAAAGCAGGCCTTTAAGGAGCTGCTGAGGGACAAGGTACGGGAGATGGGGCTGCCAGGGTAGGCCTGGAGGGGGCTGGAGGGGGCCAGGCTCTGTGACACCCACCTGCTCCATTCCAGGCTGTCCCCTCCAATGCCTCATGGGAACAGGCCATGAAGATGGTGGTCACCGACCCCCGTTACAGGTAGGCCTGGGCAGAGGGAGCCAGGCCTTCAGATCCTGTTCATGAGAGCAGCTAGGTCAGGGACTCCCTGAGAAACCCCAGCTCGATACTTGGGCTCCAAGGAGCCAGGGTCAGGAGAGTGGTAGATGAGTGAAGGTTCAAGTGGAAGAGAAGCTATAGAGGACCTCCAGGAGGGAAAGGTGTCTGACATGAGACATTCAATAAATGCTTGTTGAATTGAAGTGATTTGAATTAATTGGGGGAAGGGGGGAAGTTAGGGCAGATCCCTGACTGCAACTTGAGCACCCCAAAGCATAAGGGCCGGGTATTATCAGTGTCCTGGAACCCGTCTCTTCCCTTCACTACCTCTCACCCTTCCCCACATCCCAGACATTTTTCTTGCCTCCCTGTACCCTGGAGCCCCTGCAGCCTGCTGTGCCCATGCATAGACCCCTCACAAGCCTGTGGAGACCTGTTCCCAGTGTGCCATGCATGAACCACAGGGTGGCTCAGGCTGACTCCTCTATTCCCACCCAGTGCCTTGCCCAAATTGAGTGAGAAAAAGCAGGCATTTAATGCCTACAAGGCGCAGCGGGAGAAGGAGGAGAAGGAAGAGGCGCGACTGAGGGCCAAGGAGGCCAAGCAGACCTTGCAGCACTTCCTGGAGCAGCATGAGCGCATGACCTCCACCACCCGCTACCGGTCAGGGGCCTGGGCTGGGGCAGGGCTGGGGGACCCTGAGACCACATGTGCCCAGGGCCTCTGGTCTCTGCCTGCCTACCCACAGCTCATGTGCTCCACAGGCGGGCAGAACAGACCTTTGGGGAGCTGGAGGTCTGGGCTGTGGTCCCCGAGAGGGATCGAAAAGAGGTTTATGATGATGTCCTCTTCTTCCTGGCCAAGAAGGAGAAGGTAATAGTCACTGGGCTGTTTGCATCAGCCTCAGTCTCATCTTAGAGTCTTCATGTCTTTGCTCCTTATGGACCAGGGTCATTAATTTCTCCGATGCCCCAGGGTCCTAGCTCCTTACTCTGAAGCTGACGTAGCACTTGCACATCCCTTCATTTCTGCTCTGGGCCTACAGCCCGGGGCATGGGAGGACAGGAAGGACTCTCTGAGGGGTTGATCTGTAACCGGTGCTCCTTCCCCTTTGTGGGGACATGAAAACCTTGCATCTGGCCCTCCTAGGGTTCCCCAGCTACCTTCTTTTCCCCAAAATCCTCCTCTGCCCCGGACCACTTAAGTACTTCGGCATGCCCTGCCTCTCCAGGAACAGGCCAAGCAGCTCCGGCGCCGCAATATCCAGGCCCTGAAGAGCATCCTGGATGGGATGAGTAGCGTCAACTTCCAAACCACATGGTCCCAGGCCCAGCAGTACCTCATGGATAACCCCAGCTTTGCTCAGGACCATCAGCTTCAGAGTGAGCCTGGGCCTCCACTCCCACCTGTCCCTTCCCCTTTCACCATTGACCTGGTCCCCAGAGCCTATTTCACACACCTCACCTGTACCTCCTGTCCTCCCGGACATCTAGGAGCCCCCAGAACTCAGTCCCTGGACTCTGGAGATGCCAGAATGCTCAGGTTACCCTCTCCCTCCGGGGTCCACTGTTGATCTAGAGATGTGTGTCCTTGGAGGAAGAACTTGGGATAGAAATCAGAAGACCTGGAGATGAGGACTGTTATAGCTGATGTGAATTGTCTTAAATTGTCATGGCACTGTGGGCATTAACTAGTCACACGTGTTAGGATAAGCTGCTGTTGGCAATATCAGAAATAACACTTTCTGAAGTTGGATCACAGCCTGATTGAGTCCCAGTTCCATAAACTGTGAAGCCTTAGATCCTAAGAGAACTGATTTCATAAACATGACGACTTTGGTAACTAAATTTACAAGAGCTGAATTCTTGCTGATTTTTTTCTTAAGCAATTAATGATTCCTCCTCAAGAACAACCGTTCCAGAACTCCCTCCCAAGAGCCCTCTTTTCACATTGCCCCACCATCCTGGCTGTCCCCAGCACCTACGGGGGCAGCATCCTCAAAGCAGTGGGGCTGTGGGGGACAGAGAAGGTATCCCACTGGTGTAACACCTGCTGAGCCTCCTTTCTGTGGTTAGACATGGACAAGGAAGATGCGCTGATCTGCTTTGAGGAGCACATCCGAGCTTTGGAGAGGGAGGAGGAGGAGGAGCGGGAGCGGGCCCGGCTTAGGGAGCGGCGCCAGCAACGCAAGAACCGGGAGGCCTTCCAGGTATCTTTGCCGCCCCCTGGAACAGAGCTCAACTCTGCCGCGGGCCATATCAGGCCCACTATTTTGTCTGCCCAGCTCTGTTCTATCTCCACAAGACCGCTTTATGCCTATAGGTTTCCTATGCTGTGTCCCCTCAACTTGGCTTTGCTCCTTTAGGGAGATGAGATGTATGCACCACCTAGAAACTGTCAGCAGAGAGTACCCTAAAGGCAGCTTGGCAGCCAGGCTGCTTGTTTGCCTTTGGTGGGAAGCCAGACAGGCACAGCTTATCCTCCAGGTTGGAGGTGGCAAATGTGGTGGTAGTGGCTGTAACACAAAGCGAAGTTGAAGCCAAGTCATAGGAAGATGGTGCTGCAGGCCAGTTTTGTGTCTTTGCCTCCCAGCCTGGCTCACTCCCATGTTTTAGTCTGTCCCTCTCTGTATTTACATTCTTCCCTTTCCCATTGCTTTCTGCCTCCCCATCTGTGTCTCTTCATCTCTGCCTCCCTGGCCTGCATTTCTTCAATCTGGATTGTCCCTGCCTCTCCTGCCATCTCCTATCTTCCTCCTTTGGCTCCACCTTCCTCCCTGTCTCACTCCCCCTATAACCGGCCTTTCCCTGCACAGACCTTCCTGGATGAGCTGCATGAGACAGGGCAGCTGCACTCTATGTCCACCTGGATGGAACTGTACCCAGCGGTCAGTACTGATGTCCGCTTTGCCAACATGCTGGGCCAGCCGGGTAAGACAGCTGGGCTCCCCTTCTCTGGCCTGGCTTCCTGCCCTGCCAGCCTCTCTGCACCCCCACTCCCGGGTCCTGACCCGACCCTCAGGCCTTGGGAAGCTGCCACCGCCAGGCCCCCCACCCTCCCTCCCCCCGCAGGCTCCACCCCTCTGGACTTGTTCAAGTTCTATGTGGAGGAGTTGAAGGCACGATTCCATGATGAGAAGAAGATCATTAAGGACATCCTTAAGGTGAGGGAGGCCTGGGGTTGTGATGGATGCAGGCTGGGTACAGGGCACGTTCCAGACAGGACTCCCTGATAAGTCCTGTTTTGCAGGAGCATTGTAGCTCAGTTCAGTAGATAACTACTGTGATCCCTTATGTGGCCTGGGGACACAGAAATGAATAAGATACCATTTCTGCCCATAAGGAGCTCATGGCCTAATAGGAAGATAGATGTGACAGCTGTCATACAGAGGGACAAGTGTTATTACAGAGATAAGAATCAGAAGAATTGGCATTTAAAATGCACTTTTAAGAACTAGGTGGAAGAGGGTGGAGGTCCTGGGCATAAGGAACTGCAGGTGCAAAGGCGAGGGGTGGACAGGGTTTGAGGAACAGGAAGCATAGTTAATCAAAGCCCACAGACAGGTTCCTTCTGGTCTGCCAGTGTTTTAGAAAAGTTTGGAATTTTTGCTAACATTTTAAGATCAACAGGTTGCACATCTTCAGCTTCTTTTGGAAATTTGGATTGTTTAGTAGCACTGGACTGGTTTTGCAAGGCATTCAGTGGACTCCAGCTGAGATGCCACTGTCTCTTAGAAGGGGTATGGCATCCTTAGCGTCACTCCCTGTCATGGCAGCGAGTTCAGTCGACATTTACCATCGCACATACACTTTACTTTTCTTATACTGGAGAAATAGTTCTGAATATCCATGTCTATCAAAGGTGGAAAAGTGAGTGATGGACTATGAGAGCCTTGTGTTTCTGATGAAGAAAACAGAGAAAGCATACTTAGTGGAAGTGAAGGACATTCTGATGCATTTGAGGAGGCAATAGGCATAGTGGTTAGGAGCATGACTGAAGGCAGACTACCTGGGGTAAAAGTCCAGCTTAACCACTTACTAGTTGTGTGACTGTGGGCGGACTATTTAACCTTTCTGAGCCTCAGCTTCCTCATCTGAAAAATGGGCGTTTTCTACCAAAGCATACCTAATTACGAAGGGCAGTAACTTGGTACTTGAGGTGAGAAAGATCTGAGAATAAAGCTAGAAATGCCCCACTGCACACTCAACATTTCATGTGTTTTGCCTTATAAATTCATGCAGGTATTACATTTTAATACCGTGTTACTTCTCTAATTAAGATAAACTTAATATTTTAAAACTACTGACCTTAAGTAAGACATACCTTATTGTCCTGTGGCTTCCTCTGTTTCTCTGGAACCACATGTCCCAGTTTGGAAGTAGAGCCTTCTGTGTAAATTCCTTGACTACTAAAATTTGGATTTTTATTTTGTAAGTACTGGGGAGCCAAGGAATGATCTGATCAGATGACACCTTGGAAAAGCCCTGGTGAGTGTAGCGTAGTATCTCTCAGACTGTGTTGTATCCTTAGGAATAGGATAGTATCTGAAGCCTCAGGATACTAAAAGTGATAGTGGCAAGTAATTAAAATAAAATCTGGGCTTGAGTCATCTTCTCCTAACTCCCCCCGAGACCACTGTCCGCTGTCTGAGCCATGTGATACGAAAGTGTGAGCAGCCCTGGATTCTCAAGGCTGTGTCAGAGGTGTGGGAGGTGAGCAGGGAGAGCAGTCAGGAGGCTACTATAGGGATCTAGGTGGGAATTGAGCTCAGGCAGGGCACTGGAGGTGGCAGGTGAGAGAGCGGTAGTGTTCCAGCTCTTTGAGACTCCCTAGGTTACCTCAGAGGTGCCTTGGGACAAACATGGGGGTAAGGGAGGATGGAATGGTATGCTCTTTCCTCTATTTACATGTACAGCAGCTTCTCTTTTATACATCGAGGTTCTGTATAAGATTTTTATTGAAAAAAACTTTTCTGCTGTTAAAAAAATGAAAGTTTAAAATAGTAGGATAGTCACCCAGAAGTAAAATTGACAGATGTGTGTGTGTGGAATTAAGGGTAAGGAATAAATGAGGCGAGAGGGGATGATGGCACCATTGGTAAGGATTAAGCAGGAAGAACAGGGCTGGAGAAAATAAGAATTCCATTTGAGAAATTATTCTTAAAAACAACCTTGGGGCCAGAAGGAATAAACTAAGCACCATATATTAAATAGAATCTATAATATTAAAAGTGTAATATGCTAATTAGACCAGGTGTCCTTCCGCGTGAAGCCGGGGCTACGAGGCAAGCCCGGGTCCTGGGTGCCAGAGGGAAGCCGGTGCCAGCAGCCAGGGGAAGGAAGGCCTACCCTTGCACAAATTTCATGCATCGGGCCTCTAGTAATCATATAAAGTAGAAATCTAGTCCCAGGAGAGCTAAATTTTATTGGATGCTTAACTTTTAGTATAAGTGCTCTGGTACTACTGACAGGTCTGCAGAGGCCTATCACTGAGTCCCGTCTCTCCACACCTCTGGAGAAAGAAGCTGCTTTAGGCACTTTCTCTTCCCCTTTTGGGATTCTGCCAACAGAAGGTTGACAAGCCCAGGAGGCCCTGTGGCCATTCACCAGTCGGAGAGACTGTGGTGCTGCCTCACCCCAGAGGATAATGCAGAGAGCCCCAAACTTGGAGCAGCTGGGAGATATGGGGGGAGGAGCGGAGAGGTGCTCATGAGAAATGAATTTTCTTAGGACCTGCTGAATTTGAAGTGCCTATGAAATACCCAATCTAGTGTGGGTCTGAAAATGAGAGAGTTGGAGAATGAGATTGCTAGGGACGGTGTCAATTGAAAAGACTAAGTGCTGCTCTCAGGTGCATAAGTGCATGCAAGAGATATAGTAAGTAAAAGGGGTCAGAGAGACAGGAGGGGACCTTGGAGGGGAGCATTGAAGAAGTGAACAGCAGAGGTGCTGAGGACCAAATGAGCAAGGACAGAGAAGGAGCCCTCAACCTTTGGGAGAGCAGTATCCATGAAGGGTGGAGTGGGTGCAGCACAAGCTTTAAGAGTTAGGTAGCTCCTGGCTGTTTATTGGTTGAGACCTCTGCAAGTTATATGATGGCTCTGAACCTCAGTGTCCTTGTCTGTAAAATGGGGATAATTTTATGTGCATGGATGTGAGAATTTAATAACATTTGTATTGTCTTGCTTATGGTAGGCTCAATAAATGTTTTCATTTTCCATTGTGCTACATTTAAATATTTTGAAACAAAGGAAAAGAAGCAGGTTGTTAAGCCTGAGGAAGGGTGGAAAGAAGTTCCAGATTAAGTGAGGTGTGTGTGTGATGGAAGGAGTCAGTGAAGAGGTGAGATTGAGCGTTCAGTTTCCTAAGAGAGAGATTGATATCTTTGAGAAGGACTGGAGAGTGTGAGTTGAAGAAGTCCTCTTGGAAGAAGCAAGAAGAGTATGCCTTTGCCATCAGCAGCAAGTTAGAGCTGTGTGGAGGGAAAGGAAGGGAAGTTGGGCCTGTGCCCCAGCTGGAGAGCCAGACTTCAAACCAAGTTGTCTTGGGCCAAGTGAGATAACTTTCCTAAGTCTCTGTGTTGTGAATTTTAGATGAGAATCACAGAGCCTGACTTATGGTGCTTTGAGAATGTGAGGTGTTTGGGAGTTGCACACTTGATGGCCCCTGTTTCTCCTGTGGGTCAGGTGATTATGTGGGTGTAGTGCCTACAAGTATGGGCTTTGGTGTTAGAAAGACCTGGGGTAGAGCTCTCATTCAAACATATACTTATTAGCTATTTGCCTTTGGGCAAATGCTCTGGTTTCTCTAAACCTTGGTTTCTCCTTCTGCATAAAATTGAGACACTAGGATTCAATGCATAAATTTAGGAAGGTGAGGATTAAATGAGCGGTGTATGAAGCACTCAGCATGGTAGCTAGTACTAGTAAGCACTCAGTAAATACAGCCCAGGAGGGGGACCAGCAGAGGTTGACTGAGAATGCAAGGAACTTACTGAGCAGCAGGAGGGCCCGGAGGGGGCCCAAGCTTTAAGCCAAAGGAACAAAGAACTAATTGTGAGTCTACCGCCATGAACATGCCCCATCTCATCTGATATTGGATTGGAAGTTAAGCAGGGTTGAGCCTGGATAGTGCTTGAATGGGAGACCACCTGGGAATACCAGGTCTATAGACTTTCAAAAAAAGAAAGAATAAGAACTAATTATGAGGAACTCAGGCATTAATCAGTAGGCACGGTACACACACACACCCTGCTTCCTGTCAACCTTCCCCATGTGAGCCAACCCTCTAGCTCCCTGTGACAACCACAGCAAGGCTAGGCATGGGGCTTAGTCATTAGGTGAAGACTTGGGCAACATGGTTTCTGGATGCATCCTAGTCCTGTGGATCTCTGGGGTGGGGACTTCTTGAGCATCCTGTGGTTGGACCCCTCTGCCTGCCCTGGAGGTGCCCTTGCTTCATGCGCTGCTGTGCCCACAGGACCGGGGCTTCTGTGTGGAAGTGAACACAGCCTTTGAGGACTTCGCCCACGTCATAAGCTTTGACAAGAGGGCTGCTGCGCTGGACGCAGGCAACATCAAGCTGACCTTCAATAGTGTGAGGGGTTGGGCAGGGCGGGGCTGTAGCCAAGTCTTCTGCTGAAACTCATCCCTGTGTATTATTTCATTCCTTCTCGCTCACTGCCCCAGTGTAACTATACCCCAGTTCAGGGGATGATGTTAGGAGCCCAGACCCCAACTTCCCACCTCCTAAGGTATGCCTGAATGGGGCCCAGGCATCCACCCCCCTGGGTGACCCTGTACTGTGTGCTTTTTGCCCTCAGCTACTGGAGAAAGCAGAGGCACGGGAGAGAGAGCGGGAGAAGGAGGAGGCACGAAGGCTGCGGCGCAGGGAAGCTGCCTTTCGAAGCATGCTGAGGCAGGCCGTGCCTGCTCTGGAGCTGGGCACTGCTTGGGAAGAGGTCAGGACTGCAGCCTGCCACCACACGCCACCCCCTCAGTCCTGAGGGCAGCGGTGCTTCTCCACCAGTGGGGGCTCACCCCACTCATAATACAGCTGGGGCCAGCTCCGGCTCCCTACCTTCCTCCGCCCCAGCCCTGCCCTGTGCTCATGGCGGCACCCATGCCGTGCCGGGGCTGGTCTGATCAGCAGTGCTCTCCCGTTCAAGGTCCGTGAGCGCTTTGTGTGCGACTCAGCCTTTGAGCAGATAACCCTGGAGTCGGAGCGGATCCGGCTCTTCCGGGAGTTCCTGCAGGTACTGGAGGTGAGGCAGAGCTTCTGGTCCTCCGCACCTGTCCCAGTTGCTTGAACACCGGGGGCAGCTCCAGAGACCTCCCCCGCCTTCTCGGGCTCTTTTCCTGGACATTAAGGAGGGGGAGGTCTTCGGTAGCCTCGATAGTCCTGAGGCTAACCGTGGCGCCTTCCTTACCCCTGCCTCTTCCAGACTGAATGCCAGCACCTCCACACGAAAGGCCGGAAGCACGGCAGAAAGGGCAGGAAGCACCATCGCAAGCGTTCCCACTCGCCCTCAGTAAGTGGTGGGTAGGATATGGGTGAGGCTGGACTGTCTTGGGGAAATAACTTTTCTCACTCCCCTCGATGTTATTTCCCTGGGAGGGAGATTTGAGGATTCTTTTGGCCTTGGATCCTCCTCTCTGCCCCAGTTCCCAGACTAAGGGCTTCTGGGATGTCGGCCTGACATGTATCTGCTGGTTTGCCCAGGGCTCCGAGTCGGAAGAGGAGGAGCTGCCCCCACCATCTCTCCGGCCCCCCAAGCGGAGGCGGCAGAACCCCTCCGAATCTGGCTCTGAGCCCTCTTCCTCACTTGATTCATTTGAAAGTGGGGGTGCTGCCCTTGGAGGACGGGGCTCCCCATCCTCTCGCCTTCTCCTTGGATCAGGTAAGCAGCTGTGAGCTGGAGAAGTTAGCCCAGACTGAGGAGGCCCTGGGAGCCACAGCCCGTGCGGGTGGAGCGGGTTGGGAGGGCTGCACCTGTCGGAGAGGAAGAACTTCCTGTCCCTGACTGAAGACTTCCTTGGCAGGTCCCTGTCTGAAGAGTGAGCAGACAGAGGGACTGTGGCAGAGGAAAGGGTGATCCCTCCCTTCTCCCAGGAACTTAGTGGGGGGTTTCTATCTCCAGATCATGGCCTTCGGAGAGCCAAGAAACCAAAAAAGAAAGCTAAAAAGAGAAGACACAAGTCGGTGCGTAGAGAAGGAACTTCGGCCCAAGGCCCTGCTCTTGTGTGAGATCTCTTCCACCCGCCTCCAGCTGTCCTTCACAGGAACTGAGGGGGCGGCTCTGGACTCTTACAGAACAGTCCTGAGAGTGTGACAGACCCGGAGGAGAAAGCTGGCAAGGAGAGTGATGAGAAAGAACCAGAACAGGACAAGGACAGGGAGCTCCGGCTGGCAGAGCTCCCTAATCGCTCCCCAGGTTTTGGAATCAAGAAGGAGAAGGTGAGAGGCAGGTGCCTGGTCCCAGCCCAGGCAGCGCTCTGTCCAGGCCTCCACGGCCTTCCGGGGAGGCAGTGGGTGAGCTGTGCCTTTGCTCCCCCAGACGGGCTGGGACACATCAGAAAGTGAGCTGAGTGAGGGGGAGCTGGAAAGGCGGCGGCGGACACTCCTACAGCAGCTGGATGACCACCAGTGAACTGACCAGCGGTTCTGCCTGGGTCTGTGGCTACTAGGTCACCCTCACCGTCTGCCCCAGACTTCTTCCATAGTCTGGTCTGTGTCCATTTTTCCTCAAGTAACCCCACTCCCAACACACCATTGCCAGCACCTGCCAAGGTTGCTCATGGTGTTCAACAGTCCCCTACTTCCCGGACAACTAGTGCAGTCCTTGCCCTCAGCCCCACAAGATTGGTGGTGTATGCCACGTGGGGTGGGTGGTGCCAGTAGGTAGAATGTGAGAAGGGGCCTCCAGGGAAGAGTGACAGGCTGGTGGACACAGCCTGGGTGGCAGAGGGCGGGGTCCTTACCCTTTAGCATCAGTGCCTGCTCCTGCCTGCACGGGGCCCTGGGGCTCCACCACTCCTTCCTCCAGCCCTGGGACCCTGTCTATGTGTGTTTTGTTTTATAAATAACAATATTTATAACATGGCCAGTAGCTCTTTTGTCTTCATATACTACTGGGGTGGGCTGGGGACTGGGCAGGTGCACCCATAGCCAGCAGGGGGCGTCAGTGCCTAATGGTAGTGCCTCCCTTTGTGTGCTTAGAGCTCACTAACCTGATTCCCCTCTCCAGGTTTCTGTGCTCACCTCCAAGCAGATGGCAGCTCTGCCCAGCCTCCTTTCTATCCGCAGGGCTAAGATCAAACTAAATGGCCACTGTAGCCCTCCACACTCAGAAAGAGGAGTCAGAGTCAGGCCTGTGCTTCAAGCCTTTGTTGAAAGAAGGGCCAGGGTTTATGTACAAGAGAGAAGGGAGATGATACATGTACAAAAAGGAATGGACCCCTGTGTTCCCTTCCAGGGGCTAAGAAACTGGCAGGGGACTGAGAATATAGCAGGTAAGACCACCATGTCCCTGGCCCCTTCAAAAAAACAAAACAAAACAAAACAAAAACGTAGCTGAAGGAGGTGAAGATATTGTTGGCATACCCTTTCTCTAGCTGTCTTGGGACTAGGGCAGAGAAATACCCTTTTGCCCACCTCAGCAAGAACCTGGAATGCAAAGGGCTAGGGCCAAGGGCAGTAAGTGTGGCTTCTTTCCTCACCCTTATCACTAGGGCACAGCTGAGTGGGGCCCAGGCTTAGGAAGGCCTTGCTCCTGGTAAAAGATGATCTGAGATTGGCAGGGTCCCAGGGCCCCCCAAGCCTGGACACTCCTCTTGCCCCTCTGGCTCTACTGACAGAGTGGCCTAGGTGTCCCTCTGTAGGCTAAAGCTCGAAATGGTTTTTTCCAGCTGACCCTTGGTGACCCTTCAGTAAATGAAGTTGAAGACCTTGGAGGCAAAGTGCAGTACTGGAGGCCCCAGGGCCGTGCAAGGCCCTGGAAGACCTAGTGCCCACAGTGGCGGCAGGGAAGATGCAGGCTTTGAGAGCTTGGGTGGACACTGGTCGGGAGCAGCATAGCCTTCCGCTGGGCCCTTGGCCGATTCCAGGGCTCCAGGTCTGCGGGTTGGACTTGCAGGACTCTGGGAGCTGAAGTGCTTCTGCCTCTTAGAGGGTCTTAGTGGGGGCCTGGCGCCCGAGGTGGGCCACTGGGTGGGGCCACACTCCTGGCTTGGTGGCGAACGACAATGGGCTGGTGGAGACCTGTGGGGGAGACAGAAGCCTGTAAACAGGCAGGGCAGCCAGGCCAAGCCCACCCTCTGTAGGAACAGCCCCTTCAGGAGCAGCCTACAGGCAGGGCCAGAGAAGAGCCAGCCATAGTCAGGTGAGAGAAGCTTAAAGACACTGGAAGGGATGGTCGGGGAGATGGCTGGGGCTCTGTATTTTCAGAGGACTAGATGGAGGGTGACTAGAGGCCATGGGGCAGAGAAAGGACAAAGGACCCCCAAGCCCAGTAACAGAGCCATGGGCTCAGCCACCAGAGGCAGTGGCCTGGTCCCTATCCCTTGGTCTTAGTAGAAGCTAGGACAGCATTAGTGGGAGAGATACCACTTCCCTGAGGGCACATGCAGGGCATAAGCCATGCTTCTCAGAGCATGGGGCATGCAGGGAGGGAAGTATGTGTCCCCATCACCATGAGGCAGCCAGAGGATGGTGCCAGGTCATGCATAGGAGGAGGTGCCTGTGGATCCCAGCACAAGTCTTGGGAGATGGGCATGCAGAGGGCAGCTGTGGTGCCCAGTACCTGTCAAGGGCCCCAGCCTTGGGGGTTAACAGTTTGACTCATCATGGTGGGCTGCATCACAGAAGAAGCGTGAGCCCCGCTTGGCAGTACGGGCCGTGAAAGGGACACTCTTCAGCACTGTGGCCCAGGAGAGAGACACCGTGGTCAGGCCCCATGGCACACGTGAGGTGGGAGGAGAGCCCAAGGAATATGACTGGGTTTTGGGAGCAGTGCTCGGGCCCCAGGGAGGAAAGGGCCCCACCTGTGATGATGTCCTCAATGGTACCATCTTTCCCCTCGTACACAGGCCTGTGCTCCTTGGCCTGGCGCCGCCTCAACTCAGCAATTAGCTCCTGCTGTTGCCACTTGTTCCGCTGGGATGGGGTCTAGAGCCAAGCATTTGAAGGGAAGGGAGTCATTACTAACCTACCACAGGGACAGTTCCTGCCCAAGATGCAGTCCAAAGATGTCCTGGATTGTGTATGGCAGTCTTGCCTGGGAATCCCCTCCCAAAGCCCCTCTCTCCATCCCTTGGGATGCCGGCTCAGGCCCTCTGGGTGGTCTGCGGGCTCCAGCTCTCCATCTCCTCTCCATCTGCTCCCCCCGCTCCCTCCAGGCCTCTGCTCTGGTCCCACCCACCTTGGCATCCAGCTTCTTGGCTTCCTGAGCCAGCTGCTTCTCCCGCATCACCTCCTCCTGCTTCTTGCGGGCTTCATTCTCTTGTTCTGCTTCCTAAGAACCATAGTGGGGGTGGGAGCAGTTGTGAAGCTCACACAGGCTAAGGGGAGGGGCTCACTCTGAGGGTGGAGAGTGGGTGGCAGTGGGACCAGCAGCCCCAGGTGGCCACCCTCTGGAGGGGCACTTCCTGCCCCAAACAATGACAGGAAGGGCCTGGGCCCCCACCCTGCCCACTAGTTCACAGCTAAGGCCTGTGGCCAGCTTCCATCGCTCCCTCCCAGGACCCAGAGGAAGAGACGGAAAAGGCCAGACTTGAAGCCCAACCCTCTCTCCCCCGATCGGTTTTCTCTCAGCCTTTTTTCTTAGAAACCTCTCCCCTGCTCACCTTGTAAGAACGAATGAATCGGACAAATACTGGGAAGAATACAGAAGGAGGTGTGGTCTTGGGACTCTCACCGAAGTAGCGCACCACTGCATTGTAGGCCTCCTGGGGAAGGGTGGGCAGGTGGGGTCAGCCTGGCGCAGGGAAGCCGGCTCCCACCAGGGACAGTAGGCCCACAGAAAGCAGCACCCAGCCCCTGTAGGCTAGAGGAGAACCGGGCTCCCAAAGCTCCCGAGAGCGCACCTCACCAGAGGCAGCTGCCTGCCCTCCCCCATGTCCCTTACCCCACGCTCAGCCCGCCAGCACTTGGTAAAGCTTCTTTGATCCAAGAAGGAAAAACTCAGCCCACCTAGAGGGCACAGTGCCTTAAGCCTGGTTGCTGCCACCAGCCTCCACCCTGTGCTCACCTCCGCTGTCTTGGCGTCGCGCTGGAGCTTGTCCAGTTTGCCTTCATTGGTGCTGAGGAAGCTCCGAAGGACGCTGTTGTCATGCATGCTACACTCGCGCCGAATCAGTTCCATGCCCCGGCCCAGCTCCTTCACATCTAGCAGCACATTCTCCAGGGACACTGTGGTCACAGAGCCCAGGCTGAGTCCAGGGCTGGACATGCCCACCTCCCCTCAGCATGGGCTCCCTCAGGTTCTCACGCCCCTGAGGCTTGAGCCACCCGGGGTACACAGGGAGGGGCACACCAAGCTAGCCGGGCTCTCACAGGGCAAGAAAAATGAATAGAGGCTGGGAACTCATAACCCCAAAGAGCAAAGTAAAGGAAGGCAAGCCAAAAAGACTGCCAGTCTTCAAAATGGCCTGCACCATTTCGTGAGTGGGGCAGCAATAACAGCTACCGATGTCTGAGGGGCTTCATGGTTTTTCTAAGCTCTTCCCACAAGTCACAGAGAAACAGTCTGCAGTCTCTGGGGCCAGCCTGAGGAGCTGGGAGTGAAGAGCCACTGTGCCTTCCTCTGCCAGCTCCCAGCCATCCAGGTGAATAGGGATGGACGGGTCTGGTGCCTGCAAGGCTGCCGCTGGGGTGGCCCCTGCCCATGGCCCCAGCGGAAAGCTTTGAAGTGTCAGAAAGACAACAAGAGCCAGAAACAAAAGGACCCAAGTGTTCCCTCTCCTCATAGCTTCCTGGGATTGTCCTGAGCTGAACACAAGGGCAGGCTCTCCTCACCTGCTGCAGCCTTCTCCACAAAGTGCAGCTCGTGCCAGAAGTTGGCCAGGTCTGGGTATTTCTCCTTCACCGTCAAGGCGATGAAATGCAGCAATGTCATCTTCCTGTCAGTGGACTTGGTGTCCAGCAGCTGGGAGATGGGGGCGAGGGGTAATGCAAGAGGACTGAATATCCTGGCTCCACAGCCGCCTTCCCTCAGGCTTCCCGGCCCCATGTTGCCCCCACCATCTTACCAGATCCAGGCTTTGGAGCTTGAAGCCATACACAGCACCCCGCTTGCTGCTGTTCATGTAGTTCCCCAGTGCAAGTATGATCTGTCCAAAGACGAGTGGGAGGTGGTCAGACCAAGCCCTGAGGGCTCCTTCCTTGTCTATATAGCCCCAGGTCCTCACCAGCGCCCCCATATACAAGCTCTCCCCACCTCCAACATCTGCTTCAGCTTCTGTGAGGACTTGACAGAGGCAGAGGCTGCAATGATGGCATTGAGTTGCTGGAAGGCAAGATGAAGAGCTGAGTAATCCCAGGCCGGCATGGGGCAAAGTCGGCAAGGGGCTGGGAGGGTGGGCAGGGCCAGGGAAGTGACCAGCAGGTGGCTGGTGGAGATGGGGCTGCAGGTGAGTGTGATCTGGGTGGGGCCCTACCGGCGTGAGCATCTGCAGGTTGTCCTGGAAGTTGCCCAGGAAGGCCATGCCTGCCATTCGCTGGGTCAGCCGCTCCACCTTGCTGAAGAGCAGCATGAAGCGGTCCTCAGCCGCCAGCTCCTCCAAGGGCTGCCGCTCCCGTTCGTATTGCCGCAGCAGCTTCACTTCAGCCTCTGTGGGCAGGAAGCGCATCAGGCACTCCACGAAGTCCACAGGTAGTGTCTGTAGGTCGTACCTATGTAGGAGGGAGGGACCCCCTCAGGTCTCGCATTTGCCCATATTATGCATCATCCCTTTATTCTCCAGCTCCTAGAAGGACTGAGGGTGAGGTTTGTGAGCAGGACACAGCCAGAAGCAGAGGACCATCCTAGGAAACATTGATGTCTTGCTTAGAAACCCTTCAACATCCTCCCTTTGCTCAAGTCTCAGTACCTGAGCATGGCTTAGGAGACCCAACCTGCAAGACTTCTGCCCACCTTTCCATCCTGTCTCTCCTACTCCCCTCCTTACACCAAGGCCACAGCCAATTTTCAGTACCCAGAGCACCAAGCTTCTCCTGCCAGGACCTGTACTAGATTTCATATACTTCCTTCAGGTTGCAGGTAAGACACCACCACCTCTGGGAAGTCTTCCCTGATCACCCAGCTCAGCTACCCGGCTCTCCATTCTCCCAATGCTGCCTGTACCTCCATCACCTTGGTGGTTATTACCCAGTATTACTGGACTGTTCCCACTAGACTGAGAGTTCCTTGAGTACAGGTCTGGACTGAATTCCCAGCATCTCATACCATGCCTGGCACACAGCATGGATACAGTAAGTTCTGGCCAAGCCAGTGGATGATTAAGGGGTGTGAGGCAATTCTGCCAATGCCCTGGAATCCAAGGTGGAGAACTGGGTTTCCAACTGGCTGGGGACCAGGGCCAGGTCAGTGGGAGCCTCACGTGTGGATGGCCCTGCAGATCTCCTCAGCTGAGCGGCCAGCCTTGCGTAGGGTGATGGCCAGGTTCTTGGCACGATTGGCTTCCAACAGGGTCACCTTGCTGGCGGCCTTTTGTGCTGTCTTGTTCTTAGAGCAGATGAGGTCAAGGGCAGGGCCCTGGGCTTTCGTCTTGAACAGTTCTTCAAACTTGTCCAGGTCCAGGTCCTGGCAGAGGTTGATGAGAAGGAAAATGCTGTGGCCTCTACTACTAGAGGAGCCCGAGCAGCCCTCCCAGAGGCATCAGCTCAGCTCTGGATCACGGAAGGCTGAGTCTGAGGGCTTTCTCAAGGCCAGGAGATCTGGCTAAAAGGGCAACCTGGTCCCCAGCCCCCATCTTCCCTCTCAGGGCCCCAGGCCCTGCTACCTCCAAGATTTTCTCATCATCAAGTTCGCTGAAGACAGTGCCACTGATCTGGTTGGGTTTCAGCGCTGTCCAGTTAAAGACAGGCAGCCGGAACTTGGTCTTGATAGGCTTCTTGATGCGAATGGCTAATTTGAAAGGAGGACCAGTGAGGCAGGGGCCAAGGAGTGTGTCCCACTAGCCCCTTGGTCCCACTAGCCCTGGCCAGAGCCCTGGGAATACTCACCTGACAGGCCTACTGTCAGCACCACAGAGGGAGCAGCACCAGGGAGAGGTGGGGCGGGGGGACACTTATCTGGGCGGGGAGAAGAATGGTACAGTGGCCCAGGGGCCAAGAGACTCTTCAGAGCCCGCCCCCTCCTCCCCAATCCCACTTGGCCTTAAAGACTCTCAGTGGCCCTGGCCAGGTGGCTCAGTTGGTTGGAGCGTTGTCTCTTGCACCAAAGGTTACAGGTTCAATTCCCAGACAGGGCACATACCTAGGTTGTGGGTGCATACGGAAGGCAACCGATCAATGTTTCTCTTTCTCTCTCTCCTTTTCCCTCTCCCTCTCTCTAAACATATTTTCAGGTGAGTATTAAAAAAAAAAAAAAAAAGCCCTAACCGGTTTGGCTCAGTGGATAGAGCGTCGGCCTGCGGACTAAAAGGTCCCAGGTTCAATTCCGGTCAAGGGCATGTACCTTGGTTGTGGGCACATCCCCAGTAGGGGGTGTGAGGAAGCAGCTGATCGATGTTTCTCTCTCATCGATGTTTCTAACTTTCTATCCCTCTACCTTCCTCTCTGTAAAAAATCAATAAAATATATTAAAAAAAAAAAAAAAAAGACTCAGGGAAGGAGGCTGCATGAACTCCCGGCCCAAGTGGCTGCCAGGGGTCCTAACTCTGATGGGGCAGGCCTTGGTCGTCTCTGGCCCACTCTCTTGCTTTGATCAGAGCCCTCCTTGGCTGTGTTCAGAGGAATCAGGAGCAGCACCTTTATGATTCTTAAAGCAGATCCATGTCCACCCTTAGACTTCCCGTCCCTAGTAACTTGAGCCTCCCTCAGATTCTAGACCACCCCCTTGGCCCTCTCCCACCTGCCGCGCCCTTCCAGCCCGGTCCCCAGCTTCTCCCTAAGGAAGGCTCTGCTGACTGGGGTTTGGGTCTGGCCCCACAATGAGGCTGCCACTCCTAGCTCCCAGGGTCCTCCTTACCTGGTAAAGGGGGAGGTGGAGGGGGCAAGGGAGGAGCAGGTGGAGGAGGCAAAGGGAGGGCCTCCTCAGGGGGCGGGGCTGGAGCCAGGAGGTCCAGGTCAGAGGACGGCGTGCCCATGCTCAGCTCTGCAGAGCCCACCCGGGCCAGGGCCTCGCTGCCCACCGACTCTAAGTCCCGGGCATTGGGCTCCAAGTGGCATCGGCGCTGGAAGGCCTCCTCCTTCTCTTTAATGAGCCGCCGCAGGGTGTGCACCTGGTGGCTCGTGTTCTCATAAGTCTCCTGTTGGGCAGATGCACCATTCAGAAAAGAGAGGGCTGAAGGCACAGCAGTCACTGCCCCAGGAGTGAAACTTCCTGTCCAAGGGTCTCCCAGCTGGGATCTCTGCTTCTGCTAGAAACCTGGGTGGGGACCAGGGGAAGCTGGAATGAGGAGCACAGAGTCCTGCTGTGTCCTTCCTTTCTGCTCCCACCTTAGTCTCATGGTCCCTCCAGGCCCAGGTAGAAGGTGCCCCTGAGCAACTCTTCCTGACCCACTGCCAGCCTGCTATGCGGCTCTCAGCTCTCTGTGCGCGTCACTGCTCCCATTTCATTTGACCCGTGTACTCGCTCAATTGGGAGCCCCTACAGACAAGACCCTGCCTGAGCCCTCTCTGTATCCTCCATACTCCTGATGCAGTGCTTCAGCCTCCTAGCTGGGGTGCAGCAGATATACACTGAGTGACCAGATTATTATGACCACCTGACATTTGTAGGCAAATTAGCTATAATTTCGCGCTGAAGTTGCTAGAGGGCCAGACCATTATAAATAGGGAAGCAGGTTGTTTACCACGACAGTAGAAGTGCTTTTTTTCTGAAGATATGGGTAAACAATGCAATTTAACAGCCTTTGAACGTGGGATATATTTGAATGTAAGTGGCCAGATTATGACCACCTGATATTTGTAGGCAAATTAGCTATACAACGCATCGTATGGGATATGGAAGCCGAAGGCCTGTTTGAACAACTTTGCTGTTTGCAGTTACCAAGATAAAATGTCTCCAATTCGCACAGGAACACAAGGATTGGACAGTCAAGCATTGGAAAAAAGTCATGTGGTCCGATGAATCACGTTTCCAGTTGCATCATGCAGATGGCAGAGTGAGAATTTGGCAGAAACAGCATGAAAGCATGCACCCCACATGCATGAGTACAACCCTTCAAGCTGGTGGGGGCAGCGTTATGGTTTGGGGCATGTTTTCCTGGCATGATTTGGGCCCTTACATTCGTGTGGAACAACGTCTGAATAGCACAACATACCTAAGTATCATTCTGATCAGGTTCATCCTATCATGTTGATGGCGTATCCCAGTGGAGATGGCTTCCTCCAACAAGACAATGCGCCATGCTACGGTGCCCGTATTGTGCAGGAGTGGTTTCAAGAACATGAGGGAGACTTTACCTTGCTTAGGTGGCCCCCACAATCACCAGATCTCAGTCCAATTGAGCATTTGTGGGATGAAGTTAAAAGAGCCATCAGGCAGCTGGTTCCACAACCATCAAATCTCACGGAACTGGACAGTGCTATTCATCAGGCATGGTGTCAGATTCCTCGCATCACCTTTCAACATCTCATGGAGTCAATGCCAAGAATCGCCGTAGTTTTGAAGGCAAAAGGTGGCCCAACGAAGTACTGATGGGTGGTCATAATAATCTGGCCACTCAGTATATATAGATAGATAGATAGATAGATATCCCACGTTCAAAGGCTGTTAAATCACATTGTTTACCCATATCTTCAGAAAAAAAAATCACTTCTACCGTCGTGGTAAACAACCTGCTTCCCTATTTATAATGGTCTGGCCCTCTAGCAACTTCAGCGCGAAATTATAGCTAATTTGCCTACAAACGTCAGGTGGTCATAATAATCTGGCCACTCAGTGTATACTGAGCTCAACAGAGCCAGTATAACTGTATTCCTTCGGAAGAAAAGATCGGTTGAGGCATGATTTTATAACTAACAAAAAGTTAGCTCAGGGGACAGAGAAGACACTGAAATATGAGGAACCCCTGCTGCTGGGTCTCCTAGTAACAGCCCCGAGGACTGGGCTACTCTGAGCTGCTCATGACGCAGGGCTGGGGAAGCTGGGAGGTGCAGGAGGACGGCTCATAGGGGAGGGCTGGTGCCCCACACACTCCCACCTTCTTCTGTGCGTGTCTGGCCCACTCTGGCTTCAGCTTGTCTCTCCAACCAAAATATGGGGTGAAATCATCAGCCCACTCGCATCTGCGTGCCTCAAGGTCATGAATCAAGAGCTGGACTCTCAAAGACTTGACATGACTCAGGAAAGAGAAACAGCCCTCAGGCCCTGGCACCCAGTGGCAGTCGGGCCTCCCTCCCCAGTTGCTGGCACCTTGATGCTCTCAAGTTCCTTCTCCCGCTGCAGCAGCTGCTTCTCCAGCTCCGCCACCCGCATCATGTTCTCGTTCTCTAGGTCCAGAAGCTTCTCTGTGAGCTGCAGGACAGGAAGGGCAGGTTTGGGGCTGGCCCTGAAGCCTGGGCACTCAGCACAGCCTGGATCCCAGTCAGGACCCGGGCCCCAGGGCCGCTTGGCCTGGCAGGTTCCCTACGTTGCTCCCGTGGGCCCAGGGTCTGCGACCACGTGAAACAGTACAAGACAAATGGCCACAGCAGAGTCTCTTGAGACAGAGACCACCTCACACCCGGTCTGGGAGGTCAGTGTGTGCCAATCTCTGGGTGGTCTGAGGAATGCTTTAAAGGGCCCGGTGGTGCCCTATCTGGAGGCAGGTGGGTCAGCTCAGGATTTGCCCCCAACAGTGGTTCTGGAGCAGAGGAGGACCCACCACCTACGTGCGACACATGCTCCTCCAGCTCCTCCACCTTCTCCAGGGCCACATTCTTGGTCTCGGCATCCTCCAACAAACCCCCCACGTCGAACACATTCTCCAGGTACGCCTGGATCTGCACCTGCAGCTTCTCGCTCTCTGTGTGCCTTGACTTCTAGGGAGAGCAGAGGGCATCATGGTTGGGGGAGTCTCCTGAGAAAGACTTAGTCCTCACCACCCTCCATGGCTGCTTCCTAAAGCTCAAGACCCAGGGAATTCCTACTGCAGCTATGCCGGATTCTCGCCCCAGGGAGCTGCCTGACTGGGACGCCCTCTGAGGGCGGGTCTGAGTCCCATGCCATAGGAGACAGGCAAGGTACCAGGAGCATCCATGACTAGGGTTTTATAAAAAACAAACAACAAAAAAAACACCTTTGTAATATGGCTCAGCTGGTCCTTTGACCCAAAGCTCCTCACCCTATGAGGATTCAGCCCGGCTCACCTGCAGGAACTCCTCCAGCCCCAGCTTAGTAAACTCATACTGCAGGTGGACCCGGAAGTTCATATCCTCCACCGAGTGCACCACGATGTTGATAAACTGCATGCAGGCCACCTGGGGAGAAGCAGCCCCAATGGGAAGAGACAGGGGAGAGACCAATGGGGAGAGACCAAGAGAAAGGGAGGGTGGAAGGCTGTTAGAACCAGCATCGTCAGCTGGATAATCAAAAGCAGTGAATAAAAAAGTTACATCTTTCTGGGAGCAAAAGAGCATTTTAACTTAAAAAAGATCAAACTTGGCCTTCAGAGTATTAAGGTAAGTAAATTACATGAGAAATAGATGTCACTAAAGCACCGCTGATTTCCTCTGCACATCAGTAGGTACTCCTTGAGGCATCCCTGCTTAGCTGAAAATCCTACTTAAGAGCAGAGAAGCTGGGGAAGAGCCCAGGAAAGGGAAAGCAGCTCAAAGAGGGTCCCAACCAGGGATGACAAGGGCATCAAAAGGGGGAAGAAGGCAGACTCGGGATGCCCCAATGACATTGTCTTACAGTTTCTAAAAGCTCTCTGGGGTGGGCCAGTGGACGAGAAGCATTTACAGGGTAGAGAGAAGCATTCTGGGTTCTACACAGAAGACCAAAATCCACTGTCCACCTGGCCCGTTCTCAGGGGCACGCCGCCCTGCTGGGCCCAGACCCAGCTCCTCACCATGAAGTCGATGTTGCTGTCCTCATTCCGGAAGTACTCCATCAGCTTCTCAAAGCGGCGCAGCTCCTTGCACACCTGAACAATCGAACTTCTCAGTGAAAGGACCTGCCCCAGGCAGAGCCCACACCCTGAGCCCTGGCTCCCAGGGACGCCATGGCCAGAGGACTGATTCAGACCAAGCTGAAATACAACTGTTTCTCTGCATTGAGCCATTCGGGATGACAGAAGAAAGCCTGGGACCTGGCATCTGCCCCGGTTCCCTCCTGGAGTTCAATAAGGAGCCTCTGGGCATAGGCCTACAAGAAACGGGTCTGCTGTGGCCAAGTTACTGAAGGAAGGAGGGAGCAGGAGGAAGGTTGGAGGGCCTGGCTGAGCAGGGGCTGAGCTCCTAGTGGGGATGCAGGAGAGGCCAGGAGGCAGGAAAGCCCCCGTGCTGAGAGGGTCCCGAGACTCCACGGAGCTCTGGCTTCGAGGAGGAAGCGCCATTTCCTGGCTGAACAATGGCTGCTGGGGAAGCAGTGCACAGAGGAGAGGGGAGGGGTGGGCCAGCAGCTGCAGCTGGATGTCGAGGAATCCTATGTTCAAGCAGTCAGGGGTTTCAGAGCCAGGCCCAGAGCTGGGGAAATTCCAAGAAGAAGCTCCCTCTCCCCTCACCAATATCAGCCACCAACCCAGGAGGATCCTGGCCTGCCTTTTCCTCTCACTGCAAAGATATCTGCCTTGGGCTCAATCAGTAGGTCCGCTGCCTCAGAACACCTGGGGAACCTGTTAAAGCACAGATAGCCAGGCCTCCTGCAGTCTGTTTGCTTAACAAGCTCTCCGGGCATTCTGATGCATGGCCAGACTAGGACCACTGGATTAGAGACCTTAGCTCTCTGAGGGCATCCTTAGCTGGCCGATTCATAACTTCTCTGACACACAATCTGATAAGACTGAAATGCTGGTTTTGTTGAAAACAAGAGCAGGGAGGGGAAGAGGTTGACAAGCTACCTAGGTAAACACTGGGATGTTAAAATGATGGAATCATTGGGATGTGTAAGACTGCAGGAAAGGCGACTTACCTACCGTATTCCCACCACCTCCTGCCAGATACACACACACACACACACACAAGGCTGGCCTCTTTGGTTTTTGTTTGTGTGTTTTTTTGTGTTAATCCTCACCTGAGGATATTTTTCCATTGATTTTTAGAGAGAGTGGAAGGAAGGGGGAGAGACAGAGAGGAACATTGATGTGAGAGACATATCAATCGGTTGCCTCCTGCACATGCCCTGACCAGGGCCAGGAATCAAGTCTGCAACCTAGGTACTTGCCCTTGATCGGAATCAAATCCAGGACCCTTCAGTCCGTGGGCCAACACTCTATCCACTGAGCCAAACCGGCTAGGGCAGAAGACTGACCTCTTTGAAGTTGTCAAAGGCAGCAAGAATGATTTCGTGACCTCCCCGCACCAAACACACGGCTGCTAGGAGCTCCAAGACAAGGGCTTTGGTCCTGAAGGGCAAAGAAGGAAGATTAACACCTTAGCTCCCCACCATGGCCACCACACAACTCAACTGCACAACTGGCGAGTCCTTTCAGAGAGTGGAGCCAGCCTCAGCGGTAAGGGGAGAGGCTGAGTACAAGAAAGAAGGCGGAAGGCAGGCTGCTCCCTCACTAAGCTGTGCAGACCACAGGGAAGCCAGGGACACTGCTTCTCTCCAGCAGAGGCTACAGGACCCCACGGCCAGGGACAGGTGGAGCCCAGAACTCCAGAGTCCTGTGCAGAGCGAGGAGGAAAGGGGAGGGAAGGAGCTCACCTTGGATTCTTGTTGTTGAGACTGAGCGCAATCTCGTTGACAGCATGGGGGTGGGACATGACCAGGTTGAAGCCGTACTGAGGGGGAAAAAGCAGAAGGAGAAGAGACCTTGACGGTGGGGAAGGCAGATCCTTGACTTGACTGTAGGCCCACCGGCAAACTTCTTTTAAAGCTGGCGCCCTCCTAGCTCTCCTGGTTTGGGAGGTGAGGCAGAGAGGCCGAGCCCTGTGGCTGGTGCTGCCCCCTTACCTGATAGTTCATGATGGCTCTGAGACAAAGGATGCAGACATGGACATCATCCTTCTGGCTCACCAGGCGGGAGTTCTTCAGGGCCCTGCGCCCAGGAAGAGTGCTGTACCTGGGGGAGAGGCGGCTGTTGGCGAAAGGCCTAGGAGTGCTCACCAACATCCAGGCGGCAGGCTGTCCCCCAGCAGCAGCAGCAGAGGGGGAAAGAGGGCCTTGTACCACCAGCCCAGAGAGAGAGTGCAGGGGCAGGGCGCTCAGCCGTGTCCCCTCCCTGGAGCAGGCCTTCATCAGGAACTATCCAGGACCCTGCTGTATAATTAGTGCCCAGAGGTCCTTCAAAATACAACAGTAGGTGTGTACACCTTCCTAGTCCTCGAGGGGCCCAGGGAGATGTTCATTTGAGCCTTTCCTCCTCCTCCTTCCAGTCACTGTATCTTCCCCACATTCCCTGGGGCAGGAGCACTTGGCTCCCATCCCACTTCTATGTCCCAGAAAAGGCAGCACAGACCCCAAAGGCTTTAGGTGTACCTGGGGCTACATCTGACTTTGCATCCCCGCCTCTGCCCAGTGATGTCTCATGAAGAAAGAGGAAGCACAAATGGTATCTGCTCATGCATGACTGGAGTGATGAGCACTGTCAGAGTGCAAAGCCCAAGGGAGACAGGAGAAAGGAGTATGGCATGAGAGACAGTCCACAGGACCTAGAGGAAAGCCTCCCTAGGTGGGCAGGGCTCGGACAAGTCATCAGGTCCATACACTGCCTCCAGGCAGGACAGCTCTTAAGATACTGCAGACAAATGAATACCTGGGAGCGTTGGAGAGAACAGGCCTAAAGGAAGACGTGAAGGGAGGGTGAGCAGGGGGCAGGCTGGGTGGAAGCTGGTCTCCGAGCAGCTGATGGAGCAGAGAGCAGAGCCAGAGGGAAACAGACAGGAGGGCCAGAGCTGGAGCACCCGGTGAAGGTGAGGGAGCTGGATGAGTACAGCCCTGCCTGAGAGACTGGGAGGAATGGCAGAGAGAGAGTGAGGAATGGAAGGGCGCCCAGAGAAGGGGCGAGGAAGAACCCCAGATGGGGTGGGCATAGCTGAGGGTGATGTACTTACCCAGGACAGATCGCTGGGCAGAATCAAGGAGACAAAGAGGACAGACCAGAGACAGACTGGCAGGCAGAGGCAAGAGAGCTGAGCCTGGAAGCAAGAGTGGAGGGAGGCGCATGAGCACTCACCGCTGTTACCCAGGACCTGGACTGGGGCTGGGGGAGGCAGGCGGGCAGAGCAAGAGCACACATACCGGAGCACAGACTGGCGCGCAGAGCGAGCGAGGCTGTTGGTGAAGGGGGCTGACAGGGCGCTGGGTGGCTGCAGGTCCTCGATGGACCTGCTCCAGGACCGGAGCTTGTCAAATGCACCATCGTCACCACTCTCCAGACCCTCAAAGTCAAACCTGGAGCAGGAAAGGACATATGCGCACACACAGGAGAAATTCAGTGCCAAGACCCCTGGCAAGCCCACCCCTGCCCTGTAGACTTCTAGGGCAACAATAAGCAAGAGCATCAGAAGAGAAAGTGGAATTGGGCCACAGAGACCCACCCTGGTTGGGAGAGCCAACAACATAGGACAAGGGCAGAGCGGGCACAGGAAGCAACCAGGAGGGGGTCTGGGGAGACAGGAATGCTGACGGAGGCCAGTGCTGCGCCCAGTGGCCAGGCGATTCAAGGAGTGACCACACCATGGGCCCAAAGGGATGTGGGGAGCTGGATACTTGCTGCACTCTCAGTCTCAGATGGGACATCTCCGAGAAGCTGGGGCTCCCCACGTAGAACCTGCCAGCTGCAGGAACACGCCAACTGCAGGTCTTGTTAGTTGGCAAATGGCAGCGGCCAAAGGCGCCTGAGTGCCCTGAGGGAGCCCCACTGTTTCTGGGCTGGGATTGAGGGCAGGTCAGAATGGAAGAAAACAGGGGTCCTAGCAAACCCAGAGAGGGACAGCCTTTGTTTCAGGAGGAGATCGCGGTCCCATACTATCCTGGATTCGAATGACTGGCTTTCTGTGGTTCTACATGAGGCTTTCAGGCTTTTCAGGTACAGAGGCGCGTGGGCCTCAGCTTCCCTGGGGGAAGGAATCACACAGTCCAGGGTGTGGCCTGGCGGCCTTAGTTCGTCCAGGGTGTGATCCCTTCTCTGTCTTCCCTGAAAGCCCCTCGCTCCTTCCACACCCACGCCCACCCCAAGTCTTTCTTTCAAATACAGAGTCAGAGGCAGTGCTGTGGACCATGTAGTCCTGAGGCCCCAGTGTATTTTGGTTTAGCTGGGATTTGTTTGCTTTTCAAACAAGATAGGCTTATTTGGAAAAATGACCTATATCTTTTTACTTTTAAAGTTCTGAATTTTTAAAAAATCACTTCAGCAAATGTTTTTCATTTCATTCTATAAAAAGAGTTGTTTTTAAAGGGAGAGGAGGCTCATGAAGCACTTCTGCAGGGATGGGAATAGGGAGTGGGCCACTCTTGGCTCTAACAGAGATGACCTAGAAAAGACAACAGAGGCCAAACCTAGGAAAGGCATTAGTTTGAAACCCTAAGGAGACGAGATAAGACCTGCTGGACAAAGAACAGCCAGGGGGCAAGGACAGTAGCAAGAAATGTGAAATTGGAGGCTAGGGCTGAGTTCTGGGACTGAGAAATTCCTCAGCACGTGGGACTTTCAGGATTAAAACTGGGGAAAGTCATAGGCAAACCAGGCCAATTGGTCACCCTAGGGCTGACTTAAGTCTCGAATGTAAGTTTGAATGTGTTAGTCCTCTGATAAATGATCATCATAACCCCTTTCCATATATTCAGGTCACTATGGTAGAGCACACCACCTTGAATATTAACAATTAACAATAAAGTGGCTGCACAGTAGACTTATGCTTCAAATACTGCAAAGTGCTTTACACACATTATCGTCTAGGCCAGTGGTTGGCAAACTGAGGCTCACGAGCCACATGCAGCTCTTTGGCCCCTTGAGTGTGGCTCTTCCACAAAATACCGACTTCTGCGCATGGGCCACGAAGTTTCAATCGCACTATACATCCACGCCCGCACGTGGTATTTTGTGGAAGAGCCACAGTCAAGGGGCCAAAGAGCCGCATGTGGCTCACAAGCTGCAGTTTGCCAACCACTGGTCTAGGCCTAGAACCCCGGACGGTGGATCCCCCCTGATATAAGATGACATACACTTGTCTGAGATCAGACAGATGGAAAACAACAGAGATCCACACCCATCTCTGTCTTCCGAGAGCACTTCGCTCCTTCCACTGACTTCTCGTCTGTGTTAATTCGCTTCTGGCTGCCTCCCAGCTCCCAACCTGCCTGAAAAAGGCTCCTGAATGTCTTATTTTCAGTCTGGGTCAAAAGTCATGCTCACTGCTCCTGGAGTGACTTAGAGTAACCCTCTCACAACTGGAGACCCAAGGGAGCTTCTTGAAGACTTGCTTTCCAACATCAAATGAACAACAGGGAATCTCTCCCAGAAGCCAGGACATTCCCTTGGAGTGCTCCTAGCCTGGAGTCTGGATCCTCTAGGTTCCGATTCTGAGTTTCCTTCCCACGTCTCTCTTCTGCCCCCCAAATGCACCTTCTACTCCAGCCACCTGACATTCTTCACTTGGCTGCCCATCCCCTCACCCGCTGCTCTCTCCCTTCTGGCCTGGGATCCCTATTCCCATCTTCACTACTGCAATCTCACCTTCCTCTTTCAATCAGAATGGGACTGTGTCCTCTGTCCTCCCTCACTGGTGCCAGCCCCAGTCCCAGGGTGGTACTCACATGACAGAACATTGAGCAAAGGACAGGTAATCCACCAGCACATCCAGGCCTTTGTTTTCATCATTCAAAAACTCCCGCACCCACCTACAGATAAAGAAAACAGAGTGGGGTGAGGGGAAGGAGAGAGAGGCACCACTGATCCAACAAAACCCTCTGGGATCCCCCAAAACTTAGCACTAGGCTGGGAATATTTTGAAAATCAAAGTCCATGGCAGACCCTCCTATGGCCATGTCACCAGCCTGGACCTCCCCCAGGCCAGGAAGCCAGGGATGGGAAAGGTACAAGCTTTCTGATACCACATCAGCCAAATAAGCTTTCAGGGGGCCCCTCAAAGGCCTGGGCCCCGGCTCATTCACTTTCTGTGACCCTGGTGTCTAGCACAAAGCTGAGCACGCTGTCTTTGCGTGATGTTTCTTGGAAGAATTGGGGGATTATCAAGAGCATTTACTGCAGCCCTTGTGCAGAGCCGTGCCTGGCAGAGACCAGCAGGTCCCCAACTTGACCAAAGTTTCAGTCAAAAGACCAGCAAGAAGGGTCAAAGGGAGCTGTGGAACGGAGGCACATGGAGCCTAGGGGCTCTCCACCAAATTCAAGGAAAGGCATTTTAGGAAGTAGTGAGCCAAGAGGGATAGGTGGGAGTTCTGTGTTTGGCAGAACAGGAAAAGGACAGGGAAACAGTCAGGAACTCAAGTAACTACAGAATGGCTGTGACCACTCAGAGCCAGACTGAGGAGTTGGGCCCCATCATCCAGGGAGGCACGAGGGTAGACAACAAGGCTCCCTAAAGATAACAGCAGACCAGACAGTTCCACCATTCCACCCTAGGCCTTTGGGGCTGAGACAGCCCTGAAAGGGAAGTGTACAGCATATCCTAGGAAGACTGTTACAGGTTCATTCAGAGCAGAGGACAGAAAGCTCTGTTCCCTCGAAATGTCCTGGGGTCTTTAAAGGCTGTGCCCAACAGCCTGCAGGGACACTCCTCCCCCACAGCTGGAAACCAGCGCCATGTTTCCAGCCCCACTCTGAGCTACAGAGAGGCAGGGCCGGAGCACCAAGCCCAGCTGAGATCTGGCAGCAGGCTCCGGCTGGGGCTGACTGACACCGGAGCTGCCTGAAGTTAGCTTCCTCTCTCGGGGCCGACAGGCCTCCAGTTTCCTGTCTGTCTGCTCTCCAGCTCCCCACCCCCTTCTCATTTCCTGTCTGAGTCTACACTGCTATTTTCGGGATCTTGACACTTTGAGGAGAGGTTAAAGGGCACGTAGGCAAGGCTGAGAACCAATACAAAGTGGGGAGAGGAGGAGCTGCAGAGGCTCTGGAATCCCACTTTCCAGCTCCCTGCTCCAAGGTCTGGGTTCCCACCCAGCTTCCACAGACCAAAGCAGGATCCTCCGCTCCCTACCTGTCCCTGGGCTCCCACCACCCAGGAGCATCCACCCACAGCTGGGCAGCCAGACAGTCTTCCTGCCCAGAAATCTCGGAAGGATCCTGGCCCTCCATATGGCTCCACCGGGAGAAGCCAGTTCAGATGACAGGAACTCCTAAAATGCCAGACACTAAGCTGTTCCCTGGGAACCAAAGACCAGGTCCAGACCTCTAAGTTGTGTGCCAACTGCCAAGAGGCCCCAGGCCTGGGAACCATGCTGCTCTGGCCCCACTTCCTGGCCAGTGGCCAGAGGGGCAGGCGCCAGGTAGAAGGGGAGGGCAGAAGGGACGGTCACACACTGCTCTGTGACCCTCTGGAGAAAAGCAGACCCCCATCATCATGCAGCAAGACTTGATACAAAAGACAGAGGGCCTGAGAGGGAGGGAAGGGAGAAGGGAGGGAAGGCCCTTGAAGTGCAGAGTGGTAGGTGGTGTTCCGGGCTGCCATCTGCTTTACTCTTGCCCTCACATGCAGGGCAGCTGAGGAGGCTCTGCCAGTTTTTCCTTCTCTGAGGAGTCACCAAATAAAGGTGGAGGCTTCATTACATGTTTCTTGCGGTTTAGCTTTCAATGTCTGGTTCACAGATGAAGTATGAAAGCCAACTTGGGCCCTTGAGCACAGCTACTGAAGCCAGGAACTGTCCCCTTCCTGTTCTCTCCGGTGCCATTTCCTCTGTGAGTGCTGCAGCAGCTGGCTACATGCAGGGAGCCTCTACCAGAGCCCTGGTCAGGCTCAGCCTGGGGTAGACAAGTAGGCAGCTGCCTCGGACAGTAGGGAAGGCAGATGATGTCATTTGGCTCTTCTCTCAGGAAACCCAGGACCCTGAGGCTGGCACCTGTCCAGTGACCCCCAACCCCTACTCCCCAGCTAGATTTCTCACTCATGTAAGTTCTCAACACTCATGCACGCCCTTGGTCAGGATTGCAGCCCTGCCTGCTGTTGTCTATCAGGTGTTTCTTATGGTCCTTTGTGTTCTCTCTTTCTCTACCCACCTCCCTACCTCTCACTCACTTTCACTAGACATACTCTGGCTGGTTATGGTTTTATAAAACTGACACCATAGCCATCTTTCACTGCACCTCACACATTAGCCCTCTGCCTATTCAGCAAGTCCTGGTTCCCCATCAGAGACTGAAGAAAAAGACTCACACAGCTCCTAGGGGCCTTCAGTGGCTTGGCAAGACTAAGGTCCGTTAATGAAAAAGACATTCAACTCCTGGCCTCCACTGCCTTAGATCTTCTTTGCTGGTACTTCGAGAAAGTTCTACTCATTTTAAGATTGTCTTAAAATCAAGCAAATAATCTTCTGGGCACAAAATAGTCCAGGAACTAGGTATCAGCTACCCAATGCAAAGTGCTCCCCATCCCCAGCCTTCTCTGGACCTTACTTGGCCCAGTCCCAGGCCACGGGCAGACTCCAGTCTCAGCTGCTATGGGAATGTTTCCCACTCAAAGCTACAGGCTGAGGACCCCAGGAAGGGCCCCAAGCTTGCCAGCAGCATCCAGTCAGTAGCTGGCAGAGATGAGGGGAAGAAAAGCCAGAAAGGAACCGTCTGAAGCTCCGGGGAACCAAAGCCATTCAGGAGGCAGCTCTGCCCCTGGCAGGGGATGAACAGGCAAACTCTCCTCAGAAGGACCAGATCCTGGGCGACCAGGCAAAGAGGCTCTGGTGGCCAAACCCTACTCACCCAATGTGATTGGTACGAAGCGAGATCTCCAGCTCCCTCAGCACTTTGGTCGACTCCTGCACTCTCCTCCTGAACTTCTGTAAACGTGGAATTTTCGGTCACTGATCAATGCAACTCCACAGTACAAGTAAAAGGGGTAGGGAAAAAAAAGGGAGGGATACAGGGCAGTTGTAGGCCTTCCCTCTATCATTCGCCAGCCACTCCAGGCCCTGGCCTCAGAACCCGGAAACGCACTCCCACTGCTCAGAAGCACATGACCCAAGTCAAAGGGTTTGCCCCCAAGCCCCACAGGACTATAGAGGGCAGCAAGATGGGCCCTCCCTGCCTTGTACTTCACCTTCCGAGTTACGCTGGGGTCCAAGAAGCTCTGGAGTTTCTGGATATAAGTGTGTGGGGGATTCTTCACCTGGAATCGTTCCTGTAAGGGAAACACGTGTGTGCACAGAGCTCAGTCCCGAGGAGAGTGAGGAAGAAGAGCACTCATCGTGCTCGATAGGAGGGGACCCCGCCTCCTAAAGTTGTCACCTGGCTCTTAACATCGCCCAAACCCCAAACCGTACATTCCCCTCCTAATCTGTCCTCAGGGGCTTCTCCTCTGTTGCCATCTTCCCCAACTCCAATGAGTGCTCCCAGAGCCTACAATATTTTCTATGTCAATATGATTTTACTTGGACACACAATTCAAGATACAGATGATGTATTATAGAATTGTACACCTGAAACCTATATAAATTTAACAACCAGTGTCATCCCATAAATTCAATAAAAAAGTTTTTAAAAATCTTCTTTTTAAAAAAGATTATTTTAAGAACCTGCTGCTTGCTGAAAAAATGTGGAGGTTACAGAATTCTGAACAGCATCCAAACACAATTGGGAAATGTTGTTCGCTGCCTGGCCAACTGATGGATGGGGGTAGGAAGGCCAGGGGCAGGGGAGCTGGCCTTGTAGAATCCAACTTTCTCGGGTCTGAGCCCGAGGTTGGGATGGACTGTTTCTGCAGCATTAACAAGGTCAGGGCTGCAAACACACTTCCTACTGCTTGCCAGGCCCCAGGCCCCAACACTCCAAAGCAACCTCCACACTGAAGCCGCTTTAAGCAAGGTCACCCCCCATCTCCTTCCTTCCACACAGGGCACAGGACCATGCCCTTCCCATTTTGGCCCAGCCCCCTTATGTGACCCAAGGGGAAACTCAGGGAGAACCCTGAGGTATTCTGGTCCTGTAAGAGCCTTCACAACTGAGAGATCTGAAGAGTGGGGGTGGGGGTAAAGGGCCCAGGGCCTAAAAAAACAAAATGAAAAAAAAGGTTTGAGAATGAGCTGAAATTAGGTGACCCAGAAATGACTGAGAAATGATCAATTAAAGAAACCTAGTACCAAAGGGCTACTGTTCTCCAAACCTCAAATGGGTGCTCACCAACTCCTCTTAATGCAGAACATGAGGAAACAGGCCTTCCCTGGGGACGGAGGGACCTGGACGAGGCCGTCTGAGGCATAAGCCCACCTGAGGCCAAGCAGCGTGACTGGGGCAGCAGAGGAGCCTAACGGTTAGCAGAGCCAGCTGCCTGAGCCCTTGCTCTGTCACTTATTAGGGTTCTTCATCTATAAAATGTAACAATGCCTCCTCATTGGGTTTCTGTGAGATATTTCAGTGCATACAGTGCTTGGTCCATGTAAGCATTCACTAAATGTTAGCTATTCTGATTTTGTTCAGTGCTTAAAAAGAAATAATAACTTTGTTCGTGCAAGGCTCCATGGCAAAGCGCTAGGCAAACACACTGGCTACACCATGCCAGGTGCTTCCACACCTCCAAGAGGTAAGGCAGTAGAAGCCAACGCTTCTAGCAGACGGGCCTGTCTGAGTTCACGGACGTGACTGAGCTTCAAATGTCTGCAGGGTAAAGAGCCAGACCATAGGTGTTAGTTCTTGGTTCTGAGCTAATCATCTCTATAATCTCTTCCATCTCTAAACACTATTCATATAGAGAGAGCTTCCAATCCTCACATTCTGAGATTTGGGAACAGGAAACTAGGGGACCGGGGCTTCTCATTTACAGAGGCCTGCAAATAATAAGAAAAGCCCTGCTATTTGCCATTTCCAGGGCAGAGCGAGAGAGAAGGGGTCCTTTGGATTATTCCCTGCCAGGCATAGCCCTCGCCCTGGGGTAAGGCAGAAACAGGTTCTGCTGGGAAACTACCAAACTCCTCCACAGCCGACCCCACACCCCAGTCCTACACAAACCTCCTTCAGCTCCTGTGTGTTGGGGAGAAATCAAGATAGGTCTTTGTGGGAGCCTCTATCCTCTTGGAAAAGGAAGTAAGCATGGACTGAGGACAAGTCCAGGCCAGGCTTCCTCAAGGAACTCCTTTGGTCCTACCACCTTGTTCTGCCTAAAACATATCCCCCCTTCACAGCCATGTCCCACACCCGGTACCTGGTCACAGATCAAATCCCACTTCTTCTCATTGTCGTACTGCCGCAGGAGCCGGGCCTTGTCAGGGGGCAGGTTCATGGAGCTCTGAGGAGAGAACCCAAGTCAATCGGGCTGAACGCTCCCCCCACCCGAAGGAAAGAAAAGCTAGACTATGCATACCTTTCCCTCCAGGACCCTCAGTTCACCCTGATACTCGAATGCTAATAAGGAAGGCTCAGAGAGGCGGGACAGACCTTCTGCCTCCCCTTCATATTTAGCCATTTGGTTGAACAATGTTTCCCAAACCATACGTCATGGAATCAATTTAGTGTGTCAAGAGTATTTTTATTTTAAATGAAAATGAACAGATTAAAATAGAATAGGATATTCTTCCCCAGCACACCGCAGGCCACTGGAGGGCCTTCCTCTCATCATTTTCTCCTTTACCGACTGCTGCGAGTTTAGGTCTAACTCCCTGCAAGTAGGAAGTATAAATAATGAAGCTTTTGTTTCTTTTACAGGTTATGTGTACACCACATATAGGTCATGCTGTAAAATGTGTTTCTTCATATGGAACAGTTTAAAGATGTTCAAAAGCTACCAGTTTAAAGCAGAAACTTTCAATCTGCTTTTCCCCCATGGTCTGGAGATGGGTGCCCTTCCTGCACCATGCACCCCCAGGGGCCAATCCCGAGTCACCACAGCCCATGTAGATGCTACAACTCCACCCCTTGCCCCACATCAGGATGCAAGAAGGACATTAGCACAAAGATAACTGCTCAGAATATTTTTAGGAAATAACTTACAAAACTTCAGTACTTTAATTATTAGTAGCAAATTACTTATGACATACACACCTCCCAATTAATTAAGACACAGTCAAGTGTCCTGACCCTTTGTTGAGACACTCTAATCTAGAATATAGACGATAGAGACCAGGCATCATTTTATTTTGTTCACTACTGTTTGCTGAATGAATAAATGAGTGAGTGAAGCCCAAGGCATCCATGCATGACTGACCGCAGCTTGTATGCCCGTCCAGCCAAGTCTCTCCGCTAACCAGTCTGGCTGCCTTTGTTTTAGGTCACAGCCCTTGCCTCTAAAGGCAGATCACTGCACCTGCCCACCCCCCATTCTCTTGAATCAAATACGATCTCCTATCTGAAGTATCATAGCTGTCTTCCCACAAATCCAGCCTCTTCCCCAGCACACTGCAGGCCACCTGGAGGGCCTTCCTCTCATCTTTCTCTCCTTTGCCGACTGCTCCGAGTTCAGCTTTAACTCCCTGGTAACCCAAGCATGACCGCTTGGTTTACCTCTGCCCACTCCCTGATATTCTCATCCCTGGGGACAGGAACTGTGTGCACTGAGTAGTTACACGGGCCCTGGGTTACTCCAGAAGCAGCAGGAATATCCTGAAAGTATGCCCTTCATTTCCTAGGAAACTGAAAGGAAATCCTTAAACATTTATTTCTATCACACGTATCTATTATGCATTTATCTATGCACATACTATTAAATCAGCTGTGCTCATCTACCCCCAAAGGACTGTCTATTCATATGGCTCCAAACCCCAATAATATCTAATACTGTGACAGGCACCTAGTGGAGAGTAAGTTGATAGTAAATCTATGGTTAAGACGTCCCAGCTCGAGCTATGGACCCAGATCCTGGCTGGAAACGGGTTCACTATGGGTCAGAAAAGGAAGTAGGGTTGGAATCTCTGGTCAGCATTTAGAAATGGTAGAATTTAGGAATATATAAGTGGAGCAAGTGAGAGAAAAGGGGGAAGATACCACCACATCACACCTCTCCCCCACGGTTGCTGAACCTCCCCAGGAGAGAAGGGCCAACAGAATCCCCCCACTGCTGACACTGTAGGGATTGCTGGGGTGGGGGTGGCTGCAAATACAACTCTGAATGTTCTCTCTAGAACTACTTTGCTAAGGGCCAATCTCGGCATATCTGTGGATAGCAGGACAAGGACAGAGGCCACAACAAGGACCCAAAGGTCAAAGGTGGGCCTGGAGCAAGGTCTTCTGTCTAACCAGGGCCAGCTGAACCCAAGTGAGATCGGAGCAGAAACTGTCCTTAGGCCTGGTTCTGGCTCTGTGCACGCCCTAAGCACATCATTGTCACCTGCCCATTGATCCCAAGTTCGTGCCATGAATAATTTTCTATTGTCTCCCTTAGAAGAAAGGCACTGGGGAGGGAGTGGGGAGCCTGGCACCACTCTGGCAGACATCATATCCTGTCTACACCAACTTCCTCTCTCAGCCACCACTGCCAGCTGCTGTGGCCTTGTACTTCCCTACCAGATGAACTGATGAGGAAACGTTCGGTGCCCTGGGGTTTCAAATGCAGAGCAAAGTCGCCCCCTTTGGGAAACTTAGCCTGAGAACACGGAACAGGCATATCAGGGACCTGGCTAAACTTTAGATGCTCAGAAGACGTAAATGCCACAGTATGAAAACAGGTGGCAGAAGCAAAAATCATCAGCTCTGACCACAGGCCACATCCTCCAGTCTAGAGCTTTGATGCCAGCCTTCTCTGCTTCTTCAGCTGAAGTGTGATGGGGAAGAAAGTAGGTAAGGGAAAGTCCCTCAGCCTCCAACACTCTCACAAGAAAATGGTCACTGGCTGTGGGCTGGGAGCCAGGGCAATGCTCTCCCTGCCAGACAAGGGCAATGGGGCTTCTGCATCCACCTGATAACGTGCGCAAGTCTAGCAGGGCTCCAATGTCCTGAGGAAGTTACTCTTCCCTGAGGAAGGACAACTTCCTGAGTTCCGGGGACAGCCAGGGAGCAAACCTGATGAGGTTCCGGTTTCAGTCAAAGGTTTGTTTCCTTGACATTCAGCGGATCCACAGGGACTGTGGGCTCTCGGAAGGCAGGGGCCGGGCTTAAGTCCTTGCTACCTTCTCACAAGACCCTTGCTGAGCAGGAAGGAGGCGCACTGTCTCAGAGAGGAGGGCACTGGATGTGGAGTCAGCGCAAAGCAACTTTCGGCTCTTCAGAGCTGTTGAACCTCCATGAGCTCATCCATAAAACGGAGATAATCTCCCTACTTCCCACGGTTTTATGAGGGATAAACATTTTATGTCTGTATTTGTCTGGAACACTCTGGGTGCTCAACACAGTACCCTTACCCTTCCTCCTGAATAGCCTCTGTAATGTGGTGACATCCCAAGGACCCACCCTCTTACTTCTGGGTTCATTCTCTCTCTCTCTCTCTCTCTCTCTCTCTCTCTCTCTCTCTCTCTCTCTCTGCCTCTGCCCCTCCTTCAGCAACTGCTTCTCAACACTGAGGACAGAGCAATCCTTTACCTCTCCTTTGATCCCTCTCTTGTTTCCTCTAACCACCATCCTTGGGGATGGAGGCGAGACCCCAGGGAGTAGGGAAAGGGGAAGATGAGCTCAAACTGAAAGCAATTCTGGGGCTGAGTCCTAAAGCAGAGGAACCGGCAAGAAGTCTAATAATAAAAACCTAAACCAGGAAGAAGCAGAAAGGGGTGGATCTGATGCTTCTTCAGTTAGGCTACTCTGATTTACTGCCAGTTTGAGGCCAGGCAGAGTGCCCTGTGTAGTGGCCAACCCCTTTCTGCGTTCTGTGGGAGCAAGGCTTCTACTCCCCATATGACTCTGTCCTCCCCCCGACCCCCCACACAGGAGGGAGGCAGCTCTGGTGGCAGAGGTTCCCTTCCCTTTCCTGCTCTGCACCCCCAGCCAGTTAGCCCCTCCTTGTTTCCTTCCCATTTCGGGGAGGGAAATGCCGGTGGGGTTGGGGTTTCCTTCAGCTGCAGGTCCTTGGGGACTCGCCCCTGACTTGTCAGTCTCCTTAGGCCGGGCCTGGGGAAAACCCAACACAGAAATAGGAACCATAAAAAATTCCCGGTTGTTTCTACTGGTCCCAGTCAATCATAAATCTTAGGAACAGAGACGAGAATGGCATGGCTCCTCTGAGAGGCAGGGGCGAGGTGGTTGAAACTTTCCCGAAAAGGGGATTCTGGAGGCTTTAGGGAAGGCAGGCAGGGGATGTTTATTTTGAGCAAATACAGAATGTGAGCTGGTGGTTTTTTAATATTTTCCCTCTCAGAACCACCTTTCACCAAATCCCCTGTGGCTGGACACTTCTCCCAAATGTGGTAGCCCTAGCCCACATGCTCAGCCCACAGGGGTGGGGAGCACTGGAGGATGAATCTACAACTTCCCCAGAGATAACATGAGGCACTGTCCTGGGTACCACATGCTGCTGAGCCCTGGGCTATAGCTGCCACCAAGTCTTCTCGTGCATCCACAGATCAGCCCACTGTACAGATGGGCAGGGGTAAATGTGGTGAGGAGGCACATAGTTTGGGAGGCCAAGGCAACACTGGGCACAAAGGCCCATCCCCAGCAGCCAAAAGGACAGAGCTTTAGGAGCAGCCCAGCCTGCCCTCCACGTGTCTCTACTGGTGGGCAGTAGGCACAGCTGTGGCCAGCTGGGCACTACTCCCAAAGGGCAAGAGCCCAAGGAGGTGGGAGGTACCAGCTCCTGCTGCCTCGGCCCCCTTGGCGGCCACAGCCAGCACTGCTGCAGTAGCAGCTCCCAGACAATGAGAGTTATTTTCAGCCAGTGCTTTAACACAAGCCAGCTGGCCAGTGTGCAGGGCGGGAGTCCTCCTCCACCCAGCCCGCCCAGATGGCAGGCAGGCCCAGCTCATCGCCTACGCTGCTGCCGACTCTGCGTCACTGTTTGTTTATCTCGTTGTTTCAGCACAACTCCTCTTAACTACCCCCCAAAACTACAATACTTTCAAAGGAAATAAAAAAAAAAATCAGAGAATTTGATCAAAAGTCCAAAAGCTAAAATTAAAAGGTCCAGACATGGGAAGCACAGCAGCCCCTCCAAACACCCACACTTTCCCCAGCTCTGTGACTGGCGGGCGCAGCGCAGGGGAGGAAGTGGAGTGAATCAGTGGCCAGATCTCACTGCAGCCTCCATGGACCAAGGCCGAGCCTGGCTTTGCTGCCAAACCAGAGGACAAAGCTGAAGACTGCTCTCCTCGCCGGCCTTGCTCCCATCCTTCTTTTCAGAGCTCAGGTTTGGAGAAGATAACTTGAGAC